CTCGGCCTCCCAAAGTGCTGGGATTATAGGTGTGAGCCACTGCGCCAGGCCGAGGACTATGTATTTTTTGATATTACATGTGATACGGAAGAGGTGAGGTCACTGTATTGTCATTACTCATCCCCATTCTACCATGTACTAGAATTCAGTCTTATTTAGTCGTATATGTGACAGGAAGCCAGAAGGTTTCCCCAACCAATATTTAGAATTATCCACATTTCATGCCTCCTAGCAATTCCCCCTAGTAATTTTTGTCATGGGTGAGGACTGTGACTTTCACTTGTTACTGTGGCATTGTCAGCCAGATCATGTTTAGAAAAGAAGACATATGTAAATTGAGGATCTGGGATTGAATTCCCTTAAAATATCCATGACTGTGTACTTTCTGGATACTGTTTGTGGCTATAAAACACACTTATCCCAGTTTAAAACCACTACTGTTTAGATTAAGGTTATTGAATTGTCTTAGTTTTCTACTTTCAAGACATGGTTATAGATTGCTTTTGGGTAGAGCAATTGTGGATGAGTGTTGAGTGTTACCTGTCTGTAGATCCACTGATGCAAGTTTTCTCTTTTTAAGCAAGGAGGTGGCTATTAATTTGCCTGGCACTTACAGTGAACTGGGCCTGCCCTATGATGGGGATTTAAGGTGGGTGTATCATAAAAGTAGAAGTGAGAAGACAAACAAGTTTCCCAGTATCTCAGGTGGAGTAAAAAATGTAGACCAGGAATCAAATATTACTCTAAGAACTTCGTAAGATTTGTATACTCCCCCACCTTGTTTTTTGTTTTGTTTTGTTTTGTTTTGTAAAAACAGAGCCTCACTGTGTTGCCTAGGCTGATCCTGAATCTCTGGGCTCAAGCAATCCTGCCTGGGACTCCCCAATTACTAGGATTACAGGCATGAACCACCATGCCCGACTCATTTATTGTTATAAGTCCTTGTTTCTCCATAGTTACTATCAATAAGACACCAAAAATAAGAAGCCTGTGTGTAAGCCTGCAAGAACAATAAAGGGTGGGGAATTTAAGTGGATTGCCTTGTCCCATATCCTAGCTAGGCATAGAGGAAGAGAGAAATTTCAAATGACAGAAAGTGGGTGGGTTACACAGGTGCTTCAACTGGTAAAGTATTATTTCTTAAGCTGATCTTGGTTCACTGCAACCTCAGCCTCCCGAGTAGCTGGGATTACAGGCGCCTGCCACCACACCTGGCTAATTTTTTTGTATTTTTAGTAGAGACAGGGTTTCACCATGTTGGCTAGGCTGGTCTCGAACTCCTGACCCCAGGTGATCTGCCTGGCACCTATAGATAGGTATCTTTTTGTTGTCTGTGTTTTTTTGTTTGTTTGTTTCCCACATTTTTTATTTTGAACAACTTCAAATTAATAGCAAAGTTACAGCAGTTTCCTCCTGGTTCAGAATCCACTCAGGGTCATGTGTGGTATTTAGTTGCTCTTTTTAGTTTCCTTTAAAACAGAACAGTTCCTCAGCCTTTTGTATGTGTTGTAACAATGTCACTTTTCAAAAGTTAAGGCTAGTTGTTTGCGGAATGACCCTTAACTTGAATTTGATTATTTTTTCATGATTAGATTCAGGTTAGACAGTTTTGTCAGCAATACTACATAAACAATGTGTCTTTTTCAGTGCATCACACCATAAGTCAATAAATAATGCAAAATATTTAGAAGAATTGGACTCTGAAGAAATTATATGAATAACTGTTTTTCTTATTTTCTTTTCATATATGAACAAGAGTGGTACATGATAAATCTGAATGAGCTATAAATAGCTTTAAAAATATGCATAAAATAAATATTCTGGGCTGGACACGGTGGCTTACGCCTGTAATCCCAGCACTTTGGGAGGCCAAGATGGGTGGATCACCTGAAGTCAGGAGTTCAAGACCAGCCAGGCCAACATGGTGAAACCCCGTCGCTACTAAAAATACAAAAATTAGTCAGGCGTGGTGCCACCTGTATTCCCAACTACTCAGGAGGATGAGACAGGAGAATCGCTTTAACCTGGGAGGGGAAGGTTGCAGTGAGCCGATATCGTGCCGCTGCACTCCAGCCTGGATGATAAGAGCTAAACTCTGTCCCCCAAAAAATTAAGTAAGTAAATAAATATTCCATGTGATAAGGTATTATGCCATTGCTTAATTGGCAGCATTTTTTCTTTTTTAGTGGTATGTAAAATAATGTTACTTATAATAAACAACATTTTAAATGCAATTAAATGTAATTTTAATTCTTTCTATTTACTTTGCTACCATTCTATTACAGATCATTAACACTTTGCCCCTTGTATTCATTCAGCAAATATTGTGGTACTAAGAATACAACTATGAACAAAAAACATGGTGTGGTCTCTGTACTAGTTTCCTATGAATACTGTAAGAAACTACCACAAACTTAGTGGCTTTAAACAACACAAATTAGACCGGGCACTGTGGCTCATGCCTGTAATCCCAGCACTTTGCGAGGCTGAGGTGGGAAGATTACTTGAGGTCAGGAGTTTGAGACCACCCTGGGCAACATAGGAAAACTCTGTCTCTACAAAAAAAAATGTAAACACACACACAACAACAACACAAAGTTACTGTTTGACAATTCTGGAGGTCAGAAGTCTGAAATAGACTTCACTGGGTTGAAGTCAAAGTGTTGGCAGGGTTGTGCTTCCTCTGGAACCTCTAGGGCGGAATCCATTTCCTTGCTTTTTCCACCTTCTAGAGGCTGCCTACACTCCTTCGCTCATGGGCCTATAGCTCCATCTTGAAAGCCAGTAGTGTAGCATCTTCAAATCTCTCTGACCAGCTTGCCTTCTTTCTTCACTTATAAGGAACCTCATGATGATTACTTTAGGCCTACCCAGATAATTCAGGATAAGCTCCCTATCTCAAGATCCTTGACTTAATCACATCTGCAGAGTCCCCTTTACCGTGTACGGCAACATTTTCATAGCTTCTGGTAATTAATAAGGACTTGGACATCTTTGGTGGGCAATTATTATGCCTACTACAGTCCCTGTCTTCATGGAACTTAAGTTCTAGAAAATCAAGTAGGCAATTACTATAGAATCTGCAAAAAGTACTCAGAAGACAGAGAAAGAGAAATAAGATGAGAACAAAGAAATAATTGGATTGCAGAAGCTAAGGGAATGCTGTTAAGAGACAGCACCCACTGGGTTTTACAATAAGTATCATTGGTCATGCTGGCAAGAGAAATCTCAAAATAGTGTGGTAATGGAGTGGGAATACATACTGAAGTGTATTAAAGAGTGAAAAGGGAGCTGAGAGCTGGGCGCGGTGGCTCATCCTTGTAATCCCAGCACTTTGGGAGGCCGAGGTGGGTCGATCACCTGAGGTCGGGAGTTCAAGACCAACCTGACCAACATGAAGAAACCCCATCTCTACTAAAAATACAAAATTAGCCGGGGTTGTGGTGCATGCCTGTAATCCCAGCTACTCGGGAGGCTGAGGCAGGAGAATCACTTGAACCTGGGAGGTGGAGGTTGTGGTGAGCTGAGATCGCACCATTGCACTCCAGCATGGGCAAAAGGAGCAAAACTCTGTTTCAAAAAATAAAATAAAAAAATAAAAAAAAAGAAAAGAAAAGGGAGCTGAGAAAGTAGAAATAGTGATTGTAGGCATACCTTTCAGAACACTAGGCTGAGAACAAGAGACAAAGTTAGCATTGCAGTTTTTTTTTGTTGTTGTTTTGTTTTGTTTTGAGATGAAGTCTCACTCTGTCACTGGGTCTGGAGTGCAGTGGTGCCATCTTGGCTTACTGTAGGCTCTGCCTCCCAGGTTCACGCCATTCTCCTGCCTCAGCCTCCCGAGTAGCTAGGACTACAGGCACCCGTCAGCACTCCTGGTTAATTTTTTGTATTTTTAGTAGAGACAGGGTTTCACCATGTTAGCCAGGCTGGTCTTGAACTCCTGACCTCAGGTGATCCGCCCGCCTCGGCCTACCAAAGTGTTGGGATTACAGGCGTGAGCCACTGCGCCCAGCCCATTGCAGTTATTCTTAATGGTCTCACTGTGTAAGTCCATTATACAAATCTCTTCCAGAAGTGTGTGTTTGATAACTTTTTTTTTTTAATTAAAGAAATGTATGGGCTGGGTGGGCGTGGTGGTAAACACCCATAGTCTCAGCTACTCAGGAGACTGAGGCAGGAGGATAGCTTGAGCTGGGAGGCAGAGGTTGCAGTGAGATGATATCATGCCACTGCATTCCAGCCTAGGTGACTGAGTGAGACCCTGCTTCAGAAAAAATAAACCAAAAAAAAAGGAGAAGTGTATGATAGCTGCCAATAACTCACAAGCAAGAAGCAAACATCTATACAGCTTAGCCTTTTACTCGAGGTTTTTCACAACATAAACACATCCTACCTTCTCCAAATGCCTTTCCTTATTCCAGCTGAGCTGGTCCTATTGTTCCCATTTCTGTGTCTTAGTTCATGCTTCTTTTCCATTTTAGGTTTTTTGCTATTTCTGTCTCTTGCTTTTCCAGGACTCCAGGCTCATTATCTCAACCCCCACAACGTCTCCTTTCTTGGTATTTCAGCAGCACTTCTCATAGATCTCTTTTATTTTGAGTTCTTCATTTTTTACTCAGATGTGTTATAACAATGAAAATAATCACCTGATTTTTATTAAATTTTGTGATTCTGTACTCTATTTTGAAAGAATTCAGACTGAGAGGAAATGAAAACTAGGTAATACCCTGAGACAGCCTTTTGTAGCAGTAAAATCTGAACTTTTTTCTTTTTTCAAAAATTCTTCCTAATGTTGAAAAACCACACCATATGAACAAGAAATTAGGGAGATTTCATAATCTTTAGGGGCTTTCTGTATTTACCTTTGCTGGGAAGGAAAAAAGAAATCTTGGTTAATTCAACTTTGTAATGTCACTATAATTTTTCAGGAGTACAATAAAATAAACTGTATAGATTTATTATTGTAAGTCCATTTTGACTAATTTCTTCTCCCTTTGAAGGTCCAAGGGATGTCCTTCATTGCAGCTGTGCTCATTCTCAATTTGGAAGAGGCAGATGCCTTTATTGCATTTGCCAATCTCCTGAATAAGCCATGCCAGTTGGCCTTTTTTCGTGTGGATCACAGCATGGTATGAATGGATCATGTTTTCCTTTGTTTCTGTAGTTTTAATGCCCTCTTAGAGTGAAAAACAGTAATTGAAAGACCAAGATAATCTCATCTATTGTAAACTTATTATATTATAGTTTATGAATGAATGTTTGCTGAGAAGACTCAGAAAAAGATGAGATTCTTAATGAGCAAGATTTCCTGTTAATGTTTAAGCATTTAATTTCCTTATTTCTAGACTATATACTTTCATAATTTTATTGATTTTTTAATCTTTAGATGTTGAAATATTTTGCAACATTTGAAGTATTCTTTGAAGAAAATCTCTCCAAATTATTTCTTCACTTCAAATCTTATAGTCTTACACCAGATATATACTTGATAGACTGGTAAGTCATAATATACATAATATATAATAATGAAATAAAGTATAACTTTTTTTGTGTTTTAGAAACGAGTGAATCTCATGTACAGGATTTTACATATAAAGAGCCTTCTTTTACAAATTGGGAAACTTCCAAATTTGTGTGGGGACGCATTTGATTTAAGAGCATGGACTCGGCTGGGTGTGGTGGCTCACGCCTGTAATCCCGGCACTTTGGGAAGCCGAGGTGGGCGGAGCACCTGAGGTCAGGAGTTCAAGACCAGCCTGGCTAACATGGCAAAACCCTGTCTCTACCAAATATACAAAAACTTAGTCTCAGCCAGGCATGGTGGCTCACGCCTGTAATCCTAGAACTTTGGCGGGCGGATCACAAGGTCAGGAGTTCGAGTCCAGCCTGACTAACATGGTGAAACCCTGTCTCTACTAAAAATACAAAAATTAGCCAGGCATAGTGGCATGCACCTGTAATCCCAGCTATTTGAGAGGCTGAGGCAAGAGAATCGCTTGAACCAGGAGGCGGGAGGTTGCAGTGAGCCAAGATTGCGCCACTGCACTCCAACCTGGTGACAGATCAAGACTCCGTCTCAAAAAAAAAAAAAAAAAAAACCGTAGCTGGGTGGTGTAGTCTCAGTAGGCTGTAGCACGAGAATTGTTTGAACCTGACAGGCAGATGTTGCAGTGAACCGAGATCACGCCACTGCACTGCAGCCTGGACAACAGAGCGAAACTCCATCTCAAAAAAAAAAAAAAAAGGAACATAGACTCATAGACTCTGGGTTGAAATCAGAATCTCTCAGTTTGTATTTGTTTCTTGTCTATAAATTGGGAGTAATACTATCTTTATCTTGAGTTGTAGCGAGGGTGTTTTACATGGATTATCTCATTCAATGCCTAGCACATACTAAGCTCTCAGAGTTAGTTGCTATTTTATTTTTAACACACAGGGGCTTATGATAGTTATAATAGTGTTTCTTTACTAAGGGCTTCATATTGTTTCTTTTTATTTCAAGGCTTTGTCCAGCCTTTTTTCCCCAAGATGACACCAATTTGAATTTTTTAATTTGATCTTCCTTATATATTGTCTGAAAATTTTTTTAAAAATGTAATAAATGTAAATACAATATACCTTCTCCAAGTTACACATATGAATAGCTCAGATTTTTTCTGTTCCACACACAATTTTACTTCCTAGACTTTCTCTAGCTTAAGGAAAAAAAAAAAAAAAAAAAAGGCCAAGTGCAGTGGCTGACGCCTGTAGTCCCAGCACTTTGGGAGGCCAAGGCAGGAGGATTGCTGGAGGCCAGGAGTTTGAGACCAACCTGGGCACCACAGCAAGACCCCATCTCTACAGAAAATTTAAAAAAAAATTAGCCAGACATAGTTGGGCATTCCTGTAGTCCCAGCTACTCAGGAAGCTGAGGTGGGAGGATTGCTTGAGCCCAGGAATTTAAGGTTACCGTGAGCTGTGATTGCACCACTGTCCTCCATCCTGGGTGACAGAACGAGATCCTGTCTATTAAAAAAAAAAAGTTATATATGTTGCCAAATCATGTATACTGTAGACAGGATCACCATTTTATTACTTGCATTTAAAGTTCAAAGTTTTTTAGACTTTTCGTTTGTCATATTAAGACTAATGATATTAATGGTGTTCCTAATAGGCATACAGCTCTCCTACAAGCTGTAATTGAGGCACCAATGTTTCTTCCATTTTTGTACTTCCACCATCTTTAACAAGGCGTTTCCAGGGTTTTCACGGAAGGGGAGAGAGCAAGGAGACTCACAAGGGAGATTTTGGGAAGCTAAGACTAGAAGTATTTGGCATCTCCTCCTCTCACATTCCACTGACCAGGGCTCAGTCATGTGGCCACAACTAACTGCAAGTGAAGATGTAAAATGTGGTTTAGCTGTTTGCCCAGAAAGAAAAAGAAATGGTTTAGTAAACAGCCAGTTTCTACCACACATACTTTTTTTCTGTTTAATCATAGTAACCACTTAAGATATGTACTGTAATTTACACCACTTACTGATGGGCAACCTGAAATTTTGTTTTTTATTTTTTTCTTTCATTAAAAAATTTTTTATTTTTATTTTTTATTTTTTGAGACAGAGTCTCGTTCTGTTGCCCGGGTTGGAGTGCAGTGGCGCAATCACAGCTCCTCCCACCTGGAACTTCTGGGCTCAAGCATTCCTCCCACCTCAGCCTCCTGAGTAGTTGGGATTACAGGTGTGCATCACCATGACTGGACAATTGATACTGAAATTCTGATAGGCTTGAGTACCATACCTGATATTTCACAGTTAATAAATTGCAGAATAGAAACTAAAACCTCAGCGGTCCAGTCCCAGAAACCATATTCTTTATAAAATTAACTATGACATGACCAGTACTCATTTGACTGAAGAAGAATATTTATGGTTTTTTTACTTGTCAGAGAGGTGGGATTTTAGAACTGGAAGTAATCCAAACTCATTATTTTAGAGCTGAAGAAATTGAGATGCGGAAGTAGAATGTCATAGCGAAGGTCAAATCGTTGCTGTTTAAGTGTTATACAATATAAAGAAACAGTTTTTAAAGAAAATACAATGGCTGGGCATGGTGGCTCATGCCTGTAATCCTCACACTTTGGGAAGCCGAGGTGGGCAGATCACCTGAGCTCAGGAGTTTCAGACCAGCCTGGCCAACATGGTGAAACCCTGTCTCTACTAAAAATACAACAATTAGCTAGATGTGGTGGCCCGTACCTGTAGTCCCAGCCACTTGGGAGGCTGAGGCACAAGAATTGCTTGAACCCGGGAGGCTGAGGTTGCAGTGAGCCAGGATCACACCACTGCACTCCAGCCTGGGCTACAGAGCAAGACTCCGTCTCAAACAAACAAACAGAAAAACAAAAAACATAATTGCAACAACGTAACAATGTATATTGCATTTTCTAAAAGTTAATTTCTTAAGCGATGTGGTTTAATGGAATTAAAATAAGATTTCTTTTTCTTTTCATTCTTTCGAATTAAAAAAAATTTTTTTTAGTTGACACATAATAGTTGTACATATCCATGGGGTACATAGTGATGTTTGTGTACATATAATGTATAGTGATGAGATCAGGGTAATTAGCATATCCATCATCTCAAACATTTATCATTTCTTTGTGTTGGGAACATTCAGTATAGTTGTCCTATTTGAAACCGTATGTTATTGTTAACTATAGTTACCCTACAGTAATATAGAACACTAGAACTTATTCCTCCTATCTGGCTGTAATTTTGTATATTTTAACAAATTTCAGCCTATCTCTTCCTTCTCTCTACCCTTCCCAGCCTCTAGTATCCTCTGTTCTACTTTTTACATTTATGAGATTAGCTGGCGAATGCTATGACTCATGCTCATAATCCTAGCACTTTGGGAGGCTGCAGCAGGCTGACTACTTGAGCTCAGGAGTTTGAGACCAGCCTAGGTGAGATGGTGAAACCCTGTCTCTACAAAAAATACAAAAATTAGCTGTATGGTGCATGGTGGCATATGCCTGTAGTCTCAGCTACTTGGGAGGCTGAGGTAGGAGGATGGCTTGAACCTAGGAGTCTCAAGTGAGCTGACATTGCACCACTACATTCCAACCTGAGCGACAGAGCCAGACCCTGTCTCCAAGAAAAAAAAAAAAAAAGAAAGGAAGAAAGAAAGAAAAAGAGAGCAACTAGCATTTTTTAGCTTCTACATATGAATGAGAACATGCAGTATTTCACTTAACATAATGTCCTCTGGTTCTATCCATGCTGCCACAAATGACAGGATTTCATTCTTTTTTGTGGCTTAGTAGTATTCCATTGTGTGTATGTACCACATTTTCTTTATCCATTCATCTGTTGTTAGATACCCAGGTTGATTCCATATCTTGGCTATTGTGAATAGTGCTGCAATAAACATGGGAGTGCAGACTTATCTTAAACACACTGATATGAATTCCTTCGGGTATATACCCATGAGTGTCATTGCTGGATCATATGCTCCTTCTATTTGTAGTTTTCTGAGGAACCGCCATACTGTTCTTCATAGTGGCTGTACTTTACATTCACAACAACAATGTATAAGAGTTCCCTTTTCTTTGCCTCCTTGCCAGCATTTGTTATTTTTTGTCTTTTTGATAATAGCTGTCCTAACTGGGGTAAGAGGATACCTCATTATGCTTTTGATTTACATTTCCCTGATGCTTTTTATGTTGAGCATTTTAAAATTGTATTTGCTGGTCATTTGTATATCTTCTTTTGAGAAATGTCTGTTCAGATCATTTGCCCATTTTTTAGTTGGATTTTTTTTTTTTTTTTTTTTTTTTTTGTGGGATGGAGTCACTCTCTGTTGCCCAGGCTGGAGTGCAGTGGCGCGATCTCGGCTCACTGCAACCTCCACCTTCAGGGTTCAAGTGATTTTCGTGCCTCAGCCACCCAAGTAGCTGGGACTACAGGTGTGCACCACCACACCTGGCTAATTTTTGTATTTTTAGTAGAGATGAGATTTCAACATGTTGGCCAGACTGGTGTGGAACTCCTGACCTCAAGTGATCCACCGCCTCAGCTTCCCAAAATGCTGGGATTATAGGCATGAGCCATGGTGCCTGGCTTTTTTTTTTTTTTTTGCTGTTGAGATGTTTAAGTTCCTCATATATTTTGGCTATTAATTTCCTGTCAGATGAATAGTTTGCAGATATTCTCTCCCATTCTGTGGGGTCTTTTTTCTTTCTTTTTTTTTTTTTTTTTTACAGTATTGATTGTTTTATTTGGTGTGCAGAAGCTTTTTAGTTTGATATAATCTGCAAATGGGAATTCATTTGTTTTTGGTTTTGGTGCCTATACTTCTGAGATCTTACTAACAACATTTTTTCTAAGACTAATGTCCTGAAGCATTTCTCCTGTGTTTTCTTCTGATAGTTTTATAGTTTTGTGTCTCACATTTAGATAGTTGATCCATCTTGAGTTGACTTTTGTATAGGGTGAGAAGTGGGGGTCTAATATCTAGTTTTTCCCCCAGCACCATTTGTTGAAGAGACAGTCCTTTCCTGAATTAGTGTTCTTAGCACCTTTGTCAAAAATCGGTTGGCTAAAGATACATGGATTAACTTCTGGATTCTCTATTCTGTGCCATTTTTCTATGTATCTGTTTTTATGCCGGTACCATTCTGTTTGGGTTACTATGACTTTGCAGTATATTTTGAGGTCTGGTAGTCCAATGTTTCCACCTTTTTTTTTTTTTTTTCCTTAAGATTACTTTTGTTGTTTGAGGTCTTTTGAGGATTTATATAAATTTTAGGATAGTTTTTTTTTTTATTTCTGTGAAAAATGTCATTGGAATTTTGATAGGGATTGTATGGAATCTATAGATTACATTGGGTAGTATTGTCATTTGAACAATATTAATTCTTCCAATCTGTGAACATGGGATGTCTTTCCATTTGTTTGTATCCTCTTCAATTTCTTTCATCAGTGTTTTCCTTGTAGAGGTCTTTCACCTCCTTGGTTAAATTTACTCCTAAGTTTACTCCTTATTATTTTTGTACCTATTATAAATGTATCCAGTTTTCTGATAGAAGAATGATGCCTTATTTAGGCACTAATGTCTTTTATCATCTCTTCTGTTGAAAATCGTTTGTTTTAACTTGGAGTGTTTGCCTTTCAAGCAATACCCAGTAGATTATAGAATGGTGAGTGAATTTTGCCAAAGAGATGGAGCAGTTGATCTTAAGACAGGTTATTGTTAAGAATATGCATGGGTGCAGTGGCTCACACTTGTAATCCTATTACAGGTGGCTCATACTTGTAATCCCAGCACTTTGGGAGGCTGAGGTGGGTGGATCGTCTGAGGTCAGGAGTTCGAGAACAGCCTGGACAACATGGTGAAACCCTGTCTCTACTAAAAATACAAAAATTAGCCAGGTGTGGTGGCAGGCACCTGTAATCCCAGCTACTCGGGAGGCTGAGGCATGAGAATCGCTTGAACCCGGGAGGCAGAGGTTGCAGTGAGCCAAGATCCTGTCACTTCACTCTAGCCTGGGAAATAGAGCAAGACTCTGTCTCCAAAAAAAAAAAAAAAAAAAAAAAACCACACACACACACAAAAGAAAGAATTCGCATGGTATTCAAGGGATAATTTGAGGAGGCGAGAAGAGTACAGATGACATATTTAAACTTTAATTCTTAACAGTTCACAACCAGTGGGCTTCATGTATTAAGCTTTAATGTAGAAAAATAAGTAATAGCATTGGTCAAATGTCTTTTCAGATCTTCTTTTGTTTAGGATTTGTAGTTTTTTAACTTTTTTGAGACAAGGTCCCACTCTGTCACCCAGACTGAGTGCAGTGGCATGATCACAGCTCACTGCAGCCTCAAAATCTCAGGCTTAAGCAGTCTGCCCACCTCAGCCTCTCAAGTATCTGGGGCTACAGGCACACCACTACACCCAACTAATTTTTGCTATTTTATAGAGATGGGGTCTCACTATGTTGCCTAGACTGGTCTTTAACTCCTGGATGCAAGCAATCCTCCCTCATTGGCCTCCCAAAGGCTGAGATTATAGGCATGAGCCACCACACCCGACTAATTTAGGCTTTAAAAAAAAATTAAGTTATTGGCTGGGTGCGGTGGCTCACGCCTGTAATCCCAGCACTTCGGGAGGCTGAGGCAGGCAGATCACCTGAGGCTGGAAATTTGAGACCAGCCTGATCAACATAGAGAAACGCTGTCTCTACTAAAAATACAAAATTAGCCAGGTGTGGTGGCACATGGCTGTAATCCCAGCTACTCAGGAGGCTGAGGCAGTTGCGGTGAGCTGAGATTTCACCATTGCACTCCAGCCTGAGCAACAAGAGGGAAACTCCATAAAAAAAAAAAAAGAAAGAAAAATTAAGTTATTTTTCAATGTATTCTCTTTCCGTCCCCCAAGAGCATTAGAGTTAATCAGGAAAGGACCCAGGAAAATGGGAGAAGGGTTTTTTAATACGGGACTGAGATCTAAGTTAAAATACTAATTCCATTAAGAAGGAAAAAAAAAATCCTCCATTGTCAGTCTTGAGAAGTATGAGCATGGGGGATAGCAGGATCACAATTGATGTAGGGGACAGGAGAGAACTAATGAAGAGTAAGTACTGTGTACTAGAACCTGAGACTAGGCACTCCTCATTTTGAACGGTGAGTATAGTCTCTGTACTATCAAAAGTGGTTTTTGTCATATAATTAAATATGTGTTTGTAATTTAAGAAGTAGGGATGGACTTTTGTTTCATGTCTGTGTTGAGTTTATTATATACAAATCCCAGAGACATTTTTGTGGGATAGGAATGAATAAGTGACAGTGTAAAAGGACTTTTTAAAAAATTATTTTGGCGAGAAAGCTTTTAGTTCCCTTCCTCAAATCCCATCAGCACTACCTCAAATAAACACACAATCAGTGTAAACAATTGTGCCCTTTCTTTACCAAGGCAACTTCAAGACAAGTCCTGTAATAGTTACTCTCCTCACTTCCCCCAACCAGAATGCCTCCCAAAGAACCACTGGATAAAGAATTACATGGTCAGACATTGTCAGAAAGGTTGGGAAAAACCATTTTGGTGGTTCTATGGGAAGGTATACATGCTTCAAAAGAAGTAGTAAATAAAGCTGGGTGGAAGGAAAAAGACAAAACAAAACAATGGATGTTTGTGCAAGAGGAAGAGAAAAGAGAGAAGTCAGATTTTGGGTTTATATTAGGTGACTAAAAGATGATATTTGGGTTCTTCATACAATAATAATAACTAATTTTTATTTAGCATTTCTTACATGCCAAACACTGATGTAAACACTTTTACATTTATTAACTACTATAATTTTTAAAACAATCCTGAGAGGTAGATAGTTTTCTTATAATTTACTAATGAAGAAACTGAGGCACAGTAAAGACAACTATCCTGCTTAAGGTAACACAACTAATAAGTGGCAAATTCAAGATTCAAATTCAGGCATTCTGATTTCAGAGCTCATACCCTTAACTACCAGACTGTTCTACCACTCTAGTAGATATTAGGCCTTTCCTCTACATAAGGTTGTAAATTCACATACTTTTGTTATTTATTATTTAATTTCCCGCTACTCAAGTTTGAGGGAGGAAGGCTATTTTATTTTATTTATTTATTTTTTTGAGACAGGGTCTCACTCTGTCGCCAGGTTGGAGTGCAGTGGCATGATCTCGGCTCGCTGCAACCTCCGCCTCCCGGGTTCAAGAGATTTTCCCACCTCAGCCTCCCACATAGCTGGGACTACGGGCGTGTGCCACCATGCCCAGCTAATTTTTGTATTTTTAGTAGAGATGGGGTTTCACCATGTTGGCCAGGATGGGAAAGCCATATTTTATTTGCCTTTTTATCCCTAATAAACACTGTTCTTTTTTTATAGAGCTGCTTACTGAGTAAATGAATCAATGAATGAAAAATTTCAGTGACCATTTTTCCCTCTAATTTTAGGATCTTCACACTATATAGCAAATCACTACCACTTGATCTGGCCTGTCGAGTCTGGGATGTATTTTGCAGAGATGGGGAAGAATTTTTATTTAGGACTGGATTAGGAATCCTCCGATTATATGAAGATATTCTCCTGCAGATGGACTTTATTCATATAGCGCAGTTTCTAACTAAATTGCCAGAAGATATCACATCGGAAAAGCTATTCAGTTGTATTGCAGCCATTCAGATGCAGAATAGCACCAAAAAATGGACTCAGGTAGAGTGACATTTTCCTCTCTCTAACAGATGTGTTAAAACAGTTGACTTATTGTAAAAAAATTATGTATTTCTTGAATGTTAGTGCTTAAAAATATGTCTTTTAAAAATAATTTTTGACTTCTAAGAAGCAAGAATTTAAATCAAATTGCCCACTTTTCAGCTATCCAAACCTAGGGCTTTATTTTATTTTATTTTATTTCATTTCATTTCATTTCATTATTTCATTATTTCATTTCATTTCATTTCATTTCATCTATTTTTTTGAGACAGAGTCTCACTCTGTCACCCATGTTGGAGTGCAGTGGTGAGTTCTCTGCTCGGTACAATCTCCATCTCCCGGGTTCAAGCGATTCTCCTGCCTCAGCCTCCCAAGTAGCTGGGATTACAGGCACATGCCACCACGCCCAGCTAATTTTTTGTATTTTTAGTAGAGACAGGGTTTCACCGTGTTAGCCAGGATGGTCTGGATTTCCTGACCTCGTGATCCACCCGCCTCGGCCTCCCAAAGTGCTGCGATTACAGGTGTGAGCCACTGCTCCCGGCCGGGCTTTATTTTATTTAAGTCCAATAATATCAATTTAGTGAAGTGTACAACCCACCGTAGTCATTTATTTGCCAGAGTAGTTATTACTTTGGTATTTCAAATAGACAACAATTTTATTTATTAAATACCTGCTGTGTACTAGGGTTTGTAGTGGAAAGAATATATAATGTATGGTCCTGGCTTTTTAGTCTTGTTAGGAAAGTAGTCTTTCCTAACTTAGTTTTGTTAGGAAAGTAAAAGTATTGGCAATCTAAGTTAAGTGACATAAAAGGATAGCAGTATCATTTAATCCATGAATGATATAAACGATTGGCATTATTAAATTCACAATCTTATTTGTTCAGAAAATGTTAGTTACCAAATAGTAATTTCAGAATATTTGGCAATTGGTAAAAATTAGAAGATAATCGTATTTCACGATTAGAAAAAAATAAAGAGGATTTGAGAATGGCACACTTTCAGGGGACAGAGTTAAGTATAATAAAGCTTTTTCCCATTTATAGTTATTTAAATCTCTTTAATCTGGGTGGTAGTTTTTGAGGATTAATCTTTATTTCATATAATTTTCAGGTCTTTGCATCTGTAATGAAGGATATTAAAGAAGGAGACAAGAACAGTAGTCCTGCTTTGAAAAGCTAGTCTTCAAAATTGACAGACTAATTGACATCTAAAATGTGGTTTTTGGATAAAGGGTTTTGTTTCCTATGTAAAAGGCGTGGAAGAAAATGTTGGAGATATCTAAAAGAATCAAGAGGTGGAAGACTGCTGATTTTACATTTTATAGCTGAAGTAAATGAAATGAATAACTTATTGTCAGTATTAAACTATTATTTTGTAGGTAGAGTCATTTTTCAAAGGAAAAAGTTTAAATGGTGAGTTTATACTCCACAATTTGGAGTAAACAGTTTAATGCAATAAATTTTTAAAATAGCTTTGGAGATACTTCAGATTTTTACATCTTTTCTTTTGTAACAGTTACCACAAAGATACTCTGGAGGCTAGAGTAGGATTGTTAAATACTATTGTTAACCTCCAAAGTACTATAGTACAGACATTGTTTCCAGTTCTGACCTTTTGAAGATATTATAGACCAGTAATAAACAAATTTGATTGTAAATTAATTTAAGTCACTGAAGATGTCATTTATCTTCATTCACAAGTTGAGGCAAATTTGAGTTACCCAGGAAATGGAAATGTTGGTGGGAGATTGTTTATTGTTTGTTTAGATGTTTTTCCACAGTATCGTGTCCATTTGTTTTTTAAGGGAAATTTGTTGTCTTCCTTAAGGAATTCCTATCACTCAGAGAATTTTAGCCGTTCTGGTTCTAGTGTAACAAATTATTCATCTAATAATTTGACATTAAGAAAACTATAAATAACTGGTAGAAGGAAAGTTCTTTGCACTTTAGTGGATTGAAGACTTGACTTTGAGAGTAAGTCCAAAAATATATATGATGTTTCTCAGTGATAAGAGTAAAAAGTAGTGAATCCTCAGAGTTTTTAAATAGCATGCTACTTGGCAAGACTTCATATTTTTTAGTTACAATTCTTCCACTGCCCATAGAAACAAAATTTGTTAACTCCAGTTTGAAATTTGAAATCTAATATGTAGCTAAATCTGTGACTTGTAAAACTCTATGCATAACTTTTCTTAATCAGTGGAAATAAGAATAAAAGAAAAAGGTAAAGTTAATTTTTTTTTCTAAGTCTACATCCTAGCCCTTGATTCAATTGCCTGAAGAAGCTGTGTGAGATTAGTCTGGTTATTGGTTCCTTTATCTGTCAGTGCCATCTTAATCTCTTCACATGTTACACTAAATGCTGCCTATAACCCATCCTCATCTTCTTTACTCATCATTGCTTTCTTCAAGGAAGGTCTTGATACTGCCTCGTCTACCTCATTATCTGCTAGTCTAGATAGTGACTCTTTGGAAGATTGGTAGCCCTGAATGAGTTATCCAACTTCCGCTTCCTCACATTGGCCACTTTGCATAGGTTTGGGAACTTAGCACGTGCTAAATCCTCATGCCCATAGAGGCGAAATACTTTGAGGAATGGGAGCGTCTCTTCACTGTGTTCTTGAATCAGCCTTCTCTCATCCGCCAAGAAATGCATGGATTTCCCTGCCAACTCTAGGAAGTAGTGCTGCATGATTGAATCATTCTTTGATGAATTCTTTCATTGTAACATAGGGAGTCATTTCCAAAAAGGTAGATATGAGCTTAAAGTACATTGACTTATGAATGCTTTGCCTGTGGGCCCAACAGTGTCATGACCCTCCAATTGGAACATAGCATGAATTATTTTTATGTCGAGTTCTTGAACTGCTAATCAGGTGTATGTTTCCTTGAAGTCCAGAGCAGGATCCAGGTCAGATGAAGGAGGTGGTATGCCTGGCTTAACTGCTGAAAAAAGAACATTGAAACTTTTCACAATGTGCAGCATTGGGTTTCTGCTTGGCTTTCTCACTGAATAGTAAATTGGGGAAAATGCTGCTTTTACTATTTTGTGTTTTATAGCAACATTAATAGCATTTTCTCAGTCAGGTGCTGTCCAGGAACATTTCCTTTGGAAGGTCTGAACAGAATGATCTGGCTTGATGTATTTCTTGAGCTCTAGTACCATATCATAGAATAGGTTAAATGTAGCCAACAACAATGTCAGGACAATTGACATTGTCCTTACAAGAGTGAATGCATTGTCTTTTGGAACTGCTACTAGAGCCATACATGAGGCAGCGAACGCATCTTTAGGTGGTGGCAAGGCTATATCTGATTGACAGAGATCTCTGATCTCTAATGACATATTGCTATTGTCCTATTATGTTTAAATTTGAATCTAAATCACTTGAGTGTTATGAGTGATGGCTATATAACGTGCCATTTAGTTAGATTTACAGTGTTTTTTTTGTTGCAGTTTAGTTTGAAACAGCACTTAAGCACACTGTTTCTGTTAGTGCTATATAGTTTTCAAACTAACAAGCCTGGGATCCTTGTTAGTGTAGTGACTGCCTCTTTAGGAGTATGGGACCCTAGGGTGCCCATATATTTTTACTCCATGGGTCATTCTAGTCTACAGACTACTAGTAGAACCCTCAAAAGGTAACTGCTATTATAGGGACTTACTTATTGGAAACTGGTAATACAATAAAATATTGAAGGAGGGGCCATGGTCTTAGTAGGTTTTAGGATGACCTTTTAACTCCAGTAACTACTTCCTTGGTATTGGTATCCCTGATAGAGGGAATATAACCTCTGGCAATAATCTCATTCAGTTTATACTACCTGACTAAATTTAATCATACTTTTATGTATTTGTTTCCTCAGTTGGACCTAAGTTACTATATTTCTTTTTCTTATTTTTTTAATTATTGTACAGTTTCTTTACCTTTCAAGTATAAATGTGTATATAAAATGTAAATACAAGGAATTCACTAAAAACCACTCATAACAATTACTGTGTAAATAAAACTGGTAAGCTGAGTAATTACTTGAAATGAGTCTTCATTACTTTGGGGATATCTGTTTTATTTAACTACATCTCAAGGAAAAAAAGGAAATAATTTTTGTTTTTGTTTGCCAAATTTGTCTTCCAAGGAATGCACTAAGCCTTCAGTCTTTTTAGACTGGCAGTACTGGCAGCTAAAATATTGTACTGTATCTTCTCTTGAGACCAGTATGTAGGAAATATGTGATAATTCACATGGTCAGTATATGGCAGTTTTTGTTGTTATTGTTAAAGTATATTTTAAATTAAAAAAACCTTTTCCTAAAATACTCAAAATAATGTGAAATTTAATATGTGTTTCATTTGTTTGTCTACTCTCTCTCTCTCTCTATATATATATCTTACTTAATGTTCCTTTAGTCCAGGTCTACATTGCCTTATTTAAATGCTGTTAGAAAAAAAAAAATGCTGTTAGAAGACTCCGGTAACTCGCATAGTTTTCTACAGTCAGCTTTTGCTGATGTCTATTGCATTTGTGACCTTTGAGTATATTTGTTTGACTTTATAAAATTAGGTAGCATTTGCAAAAGGACATTGACATTTTCAAAATCTCTGACTTCAAGATAATAGCTTTACTTGTAGCTTAGGAACTAATGTTATTTTGACCTAGGCCTGTCAACTCTTTAGAGTCTACACTACTGAAGGGTATAATTCTAAAGCAGATAATCATGAAATAATTTATCTTACTTCATAATGTCATATGATTTATTTTTACTTTTCATTTTGTTTTTGTTTGGGTAAGATAAAATTATTTTATATTCCAAGAGTGTATTCAGACAGCAGAGACTAGTATAAAAAAAGAGTCAAAAAGGCCGGGCGCAGTGACTCACGCCTGTAATCCCAGCACTTTGGGAGGCCGAGACAGGAGGATCACGAGGTCAGGAGATCAAGACCATCCTGGCTAACACAGTGAAACCCTGTCTCTACTAAAAATACAAAAAAATAGCCGGGCGAGGTGGCGGGCGCCTGTAGTCCCAGCTACTCTGGAGGCTGAGGCAGGAGAATGGTGTGAACCCGGGAGGCGGAGCTTGCAGTGAGCCGAGATCGCGCCATTGGACTTCAGCCTGGGCGACAGAGCGAGACTCCGTCTCAAAAAAAAAAAAAAAAAAAAAAGAGGCAAAAAAGTGTGAGGTAGCATTGGACAGTAAGTTACATTAAAATTAAAATTTGTCATGACTATCTGGTAGTGTCAGAAAACAGTCTTCTGAGAGGAAAAAATGTTTTTGTATTGATTCATATTATTTTGCTGTTTGACAAGCATTGTCTAAAATATTCTCAACTGTAATAAAACTTCATTAATTAGAACTTCACTGCTTTACAACATGTAAAAACTAAAATGAAATCCAAGATTTCAGGGAAACTAACCACTCCAGAGAAAGCCCTGCTCTTTAAAAATATTGTTTGCTTGGTAAGAGTGTAGTTGCAAAAGTGGGAAATTTGAATTAATACACTTATATTTCTTAAGCCCTGATTATTGCCAAGCACTGCCTCTTAACATTTTGTTAGTCTACATAAAGTTTTAAAGGCTTGGGAAATTCCAAAATTGCCTTTCTTTCCAGATACTCTGCTGTTCATATTGATCATCCCTTGATCTCAGTTAATGAGAATCAGCTTATGTGCATTTTATTTTGTAGGTTTGATTTATTTTCTAGTAAACACAAGGAAGGAAATTTGACTTAAAAGTATATTATGAAAGTGTTTCATTTGAAAATTTACGTAAACAATACTAACTTTATTAAATTTAAAGTAAAATGACTTTTGTACTATTGCAATGTATTTGAAAAATCATTTTTACAATAAATATGTAAATGATAAATGAATATAGACTTGAAGGAGTATATGAAATTGACAACAATGGGGTATATTTGTTCTCATTTTTCATCCTCAGGCATAATGCTATACACAATGGTATAAAAGCAGAAAGCAAAGCTTGAAATTCTGGTCACAGCTGAGCGCGGTGGCTCATGTCTGTGATGCTAGCACTTTGGGAGGCTGAGACAGGAGCATCACTTGATCTGAGGAGCTCCAGATTAACCTGGGCAACATAGTAAGACTATCTCTTCAAAAAATTTAAAAATTAGCTGGTCATGGTAGCATGTGCCTGTAGTCTCAGCTACGTGGAAGGCTGAGGTAGGAGGATTGCCTGAGCCCGGGGGCGTTGAGGCTACACTGCGCTGTGATCACACCACTGGACTCCAGCCTGTGCAACAGAGTGAGCCCCTTTCTCAAAAACATTAAAAAAATTGGGCCAGGCGCGGTAGCTCATGCCTGTAATTCCAGCACTTTGGGAGGCCAAGGCGGGCGGATTACCTAAGGTCGGGAGTTCGGGACCAGTCTCACCAACATGGAGAAACCCCGTTACTACTAAAAATACAAAAGTAGTCAGGCTTGGTGGCGTATTCCTGTAATCCCAGCTACTCGGGAGGCTGAGGCAGGAGAATGGCGTGAACCTGGGAGGCGGAGCTTGCAGTGAGCCGAGATCGTGCCACTTACAAATGGCATTTGTAATTGCCCATTACACACAAATGCCCATTACACACAAAAGCCAATAACTATGGCACCTGCCTTTGAGAAAAGAAAGGCTTTATTGCAAGTGGTCAGCAAAGAGACAGGAGTGGGCTCAAGTCTGTCTCCCTGATTTAGGGTCTAGGGCAAATTTTAAGGGACCAGAGAGCAAGGGAAAAGACTTAGGAATGTTGGCTTGGCAGGGTCTGATTGGAGGGCTTCAAATTGTCCCATTTAACATAAGGTACTGTTACAGAACTGAACTTTGGTCCACTCGCCTGGCTCAGAAAGACAAGACTTCCACACTGAGCTTTTGCAGCTGTAGGAATTGGGGCAGCTCATGCTTAAGACCCAAACTCCCTGATGGCTTGCAGGTAAGGATTTTTAAAGGCAGGGGTAAATTTCAGGAAAGCAGAAATTACAGGCAAAGTCATCAATTAATACATGGAGTCTCTGCATTGTTTTGACTGCCATCTCAAAGGGTAGGGGAATGGGGCTTGGGGAACAGGTCATAGATGGATTAAAAGATTTTCTGATTTGCAGTTGGTTCAGGAGGTGAAGTTTTGTCTAAAAATTGGCGAGCTGGGTGTGGTAGTGTGTGCCTGTAATCCCAAAATTTCTTTCCCTTTGACTTGGGAGGCTGAGTGGGAGGATGGCTTGAGCCCAGGAGTTTGAGACCAGTCTGGGCAATATAGTGAGACTCCATCTCAATTTTTAAAAATTTAAAAACAAAAATTTGGGATCAGCGGAAAAGAACACTAGCTCTGCTTGTGTGTGTGACCTCCTCCAGGCCCCTAGGAATAAATTTAGAACAAATGAGGCAACAGAGTGCCAGCAGATGTGTTTGGTGGGGCTTGGGGTTTCTAAAAAACATCTTAGAGACATGTGTTAAGATATTACCTCTAGTTTTAACAGAGGAACCAAACATCTCCTGAATCCAACTTCCTGGGCTATTGTTTTAGGCTACTGTTACCTTCTTCCTTATCAAGTTGCTTATTTACCTGTCAGGGCTAGCTAGATTCCTATAATTTCCCTTGAAGCAACTCAAGATTTTCCTTTATTCCTATGGTTGGGGGGCCCACAGGCCCCTAGAGAAAGGGATCCCTACTCCATCTCAGTATGTTGAGGACTTTTTTTTTTTTTTTTGAGACAAAGTGTTGCTCTATCACCCAGGCTGGAGTGCAGTGTTACAATCTCAGCTCACTGCAGCCTCGACCACCTGGGCTCAAGTGATTCTCAGTGATTCTCTCACCTCAGCCTTCCAAGTACTAGGACCACAGGCACCCGCCACCACACCCGGCTAATTCAGGAAATTTTTGTAGGGGCCAGGCACAATGTGTCACGCCTGTACTCTCAGCACTTCCGGAGGCCGAGGGGGGAGGATCCCTTGAACCTAGGAGTTCGAGACCAGCCTGGATAACATGGCGAAAACCCGTCTCTAGCAAAACACAAAAACGCACAAAAACCCCAAACCGACAAAAATCAGCCTGGTGTGGGCTAATGTCCACCACTAAAATGTCCCGGCGTGGTGGCGTGCACCTGTAGTCTCAGCTACTTGCTAGGCTGAGGTGGGAGGATCAACTGAGCCCAGGAGGCGGAGATTGCAGTGAGCAGAGATCGCGCCATTACGCTGCTGCCTGGGCGACAGAATGAGACCCTATCTTAATAAAATAAAATATAGAGACTAGGTTTCTTTTCTTTTTTTCTTTCTTTCTTTCTTTTTTTTTTTTTTTTTTGAGACGGAGTCTCTCTCAGTTGCTCATGTTGGAGTGCAATGGCGCGATCTAGGCTCACTGCAACCTCTGCCGCCCAGGTTCAAGCGATTCTTCTGCCTCAGCCTCCCGAGTAGCTGGGACTACAGGCGCCTGCCACCGCGCCCGGCTAATTTTTGTGTTTTTTAGTAGAGACAGGGTTTCACCATCTTGGCCAGGCTGGTCTTCAACTCCTGACCTCGTGATCCACCCGCCTTGGGCTCCGAAAGTGCTGGGATTGCAGGCGTGAGCCACCGCACCCGGCCGGTAAACTCTTAAATTTTGTGCAGACACAATCATACAAGTTTTGGGAAGTCAAAATGAAGGAAACAGGTGGTTACATGGCAGGTATATTTAATGCCATACATCCTAAGAAATTGGAGGTGGGAAAGGGAGCTCTGGAGAGGGAGACAAAGGAAATAGTTGAAAAGGAATGCAAACAAGAAAAGGAGGAATTGAAAGCTGAAGTGAAAACCAGGGGCAAGAAAAGCTCCACTCCTTCCTTCACTGCCCACTCGAATGAATGAATCCTGTTTGGTTTCCTGAATCTTCCTTCTGCTGGCCACTCCGCTTGGTCCATCACTACTTTCAGCTCGCCCTTACCCTAAACAGCTTTCTTTAACCCAGTCATAATCTTAATATCCTGTTCCTTCTCTCTCCCGTCCCACCCACAAAAAAGCCCTCCTCTTGGTCATTTTGGGGGATTTTCACTCAAGATGTGAGCTGCGCGCTGCGGGTGCGGCGAGGCTGGCCCTATAAAAATGTTTCTGACATCCTTGTGCGGATACGCAGACTTCTCCACCTATAGGATCACGGGCTAGGGGGTGCTCGATCACAGCAGCCAACGTGTGAAGGCGCCTTGCAAAGTATTAACAGCGCTATCAAATTTTAATTGCGTAGTTCGGAACCATCAGTTATGTGAGGAAACTGGGTCCTCCACGATCGGCCGCCTCGCCCAATCTCAAAGGATAATTACAGGCTGAGTTCGGCACCAGGACCCAGTTTCCTCCCGGCAGAGGTCCGGGTACAGGCTCACGGTCGCCACGGGTCAGTCTGAGGAAAACCGCAAGCTGCGCCAAATCTCGCGCAGCGGGGCTGGAGGGCGGGTGGGGAATGTAACGTATCGCGAGATGACAGGATTTTCCCGCGAAGTAGAAGCGCGCTTTTTTCCCTGGCGGGGGATTTGGCGAGAGAAGGCTGGGCCGGCAGAGGCTGTGAGGCATTAGCTCGCGGCATTGCAGGCGCTGAGTGGAGGGGACCCGGTTCCCGGGTGCGTGTCCAGGCATGCCAGCGGAACGGCCCGCGGGCAGCTGCGGTAAGTGAGGAGAACCTTCTTTCGGGCGCGGGTGGCGGCATGCGGGGCTGAGGTGGGCAAGCATGGAGACTGCGGCGGAGCTTGGGGGAGGGAGCCGACCCCGGGCAGGGATTGAGGAGGAAGAGAGGGTTGGGAAACTGCCATGGTGAGTGGAGGAGACCCTGGAATTGCACATATTAGCATGCCGGTGAAGATTTCACATAGGGAACTGCATTTTCCGAGCATCCCGAGTTGTAAACTGTGGTCCAGGCACTTGTAGACTTTGCGAAGACCTACGGTGTCTTCTGAGAGGTGATGCTGGCGTCCCCTGGGTCTTCACCTTGTGCTCCAGTGCATCTCGGGTGGGAGAAGGGCTGTTTCATGTTGGAGTTGAGTAGTTAGTAATTTTTTAAAAACTGCAATTTAGAAGCTTTCTCTCCCGTCAGGCTCCCAGGCTCCAGCAATGGTTGAACAGCTGGACACTGCCGTGATTACCCCGGCCATGCTCGAAGAGGAAGAACAGCTTGAAGCTGCTGGACTAGAGAGAGAGCGGAAGATGCTGGAAAAGGTAATTTAGGCATCAGGTTCGTCGTCGTGAAAGCCCGTGGTAACCTCGGCTTTTACCCGGAGGTGTGGTTTGTGTTCTTTGCTTTCCTATTTAGTGGGCTTTTTCGTAAACTTGAATGAAAACAGCTTTATTACTTGTCGTTTTTGTGTGTTTACAGATATTGCCTTTGAGAATCCTTTCGCACGTGCTTTGAATGGTGTGTTTCTATGAAATGTAGTCTTCGTAGTCCTATCTATTTTAAGGGAGAATTTCAGATTGCTTGTTTAGCCATGAAAAGTCTTTCAAAGTCGATAGTGAGTTTTTTCCTTTGCCATCCTTATTTCCTTTAAAAATTACCTTACGTGTATGTCTAATGGCAAACAGGAATCGCCAAAACCTGCAGAAGTGATGTACTAGACTGAGGGCAGGAGAAGTTAGCATCAGTCAAAGGCTGGGCTGAAATCCAAGTCTAATGATTTCCTTTTAGTGTAGTGCTGTTTTCCACCTAAGTGATCAACTTGCTGTTTGTTTTCCTTTTGGTTTCATGGCCTGTGTATTGCTTCATAAGATTCTTTAGCTAAAAATGTGCTGTACTTTTTCAGTGACAAGTTGCTGTAGTTTTCTTGTAGAGAGTATTTTGTAAATTACTAAAAGCAGTGTTTAACCTGAAAAATTCTTGTTTATTCTAAAGTCCTACCCTGCTACTTGATTCAGTCATATGCAAGAAAAAGAATGATAGTTGAGTCTTTAAGTACTGCCTAATAGGTGGTTTTCTTGTGCTTTATTAGCTAATTAAACTCTACCGATATTATGATATAGGTTATTTTTTGTTATCTTCTTTTATAAAAGAGGAAACTGAGGGAGAAGGGCACATAGTAAGTGTTGACATCAAATTTCAACTCAGGCTGCCTCCAGAATTTCTGTCCTTAATAATAGTGAATTATTAATTGATTTATAAAACTACTTAAGTTGGAAAATAATGCAGTCCAAAAACGAGTAATGAGACCGTTGGTTCCATTATATCAACAATAATTTTTTTGTCAGCATTGTTAATACTTCATGAACATCTATTAGGAGTCATGCATTTTGAATGCTTTATATGTATTTACTCATTGAATCCTCAACTATTCTGTGAAGTAGATGTTCACTATTACTATTACTACTATTAAACTTACTAGTTTAATTACTAGTACAATTGCTATTATTGAACTGCACAACCAAATAGGTTTTATTAGTCATCTTATTTTATAGATGAGGAAACTGAGGCACATAGAAGTTGTTTGGGTGCTACAGTTAGTAAATGGCAGAGCTAATATTCCAGTGTAGGTCATGTGGTTCTAGAATGCACATTTTTTAACTACCATGCTATGCTTTCACTCCAGTAATACTCCTTCTGTTATTACTGATGCTCTCTGGTTGGCTATAACCAGCTAAAGTAATATATTAACAAATTTTCTTTTAAGTAAAATCAATACTTTTTGCTTCAGGGTAGATGTGAATTAATAGAATCGAGAGGTCTGACCTGAACCACCTTTGCTCATTCTTTGAATTTTCATAGTACTTTATTACACAGAATTTACCATGATCAAATAAGTAATGATAAATACTTCATATTACTTTTTGATTCTTTCTCACTTTGTTTCTTAAGGATGCATCACTTGCTGTTTTGTTTTTGTAGGCTTTGCTCCTGGCACATAGTAGGCAATCAGTAAATGCTTATTGAATAGCTAACGATGATAAAATAGTATTTTATAATATACAAGATTATATACATATACTAAAATACTTATTAGCTATATAACCAGGTGAATTATAAAGTATAGATTCTGGGGCAAGTGACCAGAATGGAATCAACTGAAGAGGTCTAAGAGGGATGTGATAATTTTGTTTTGAGTAATGTATCTTCACTTTTATCTTGTTTCTTCTTATACCTGTGATGAGTGTTGGGTAGGGAAATAGCATTTAAAGAAAGATATGCCTGAGATTTGACAACAGTACATTTTCAGAAGGCATTATTAGTTCAGTGGATGAAACACTTCATTCACATAATTATGCATCATAGAACCTAAAGAGTAATTTTTAATCCATGTTCAATCCTTCCATTAAAAAAGCATATAGCTGTTTTCGTGGCCTGGCGTGGTGGCTCATGCTTGTAATCCCAGCACTTTGGGAGGCTGAGGCGGGTGGATCACTGAAGGTCAGGAGTCAAGACCAGCCGACCAACATGGAGAAACCCTGTCTTTACTAAAAAGACAAAAATTGGCCGGGTGTAGTGGCACATGGCCATATATCCACCAGCTGCTAGGGAGGCTGAGCAGAGAATCGCTTGAACCTGGAGTGGAGTTTCGGTGGCGCGAGATCATGCCATTGCACTCACCCTGGGGCAACAAGAGTGAAACTCTGTCCTCAAAAAGACAAAAAAGTGATGCCTGGGTGACACTAGAAAATTCTAAGAAAGTTTTCAGAGTCTCTCACTACTTGAGATTAATAAACATGTCTTTGGAGGCCAAACAATTCACTATGCAAAGGTAGAGTATCCTTTTTCTTTTGGGAGAATGCATCCTGTATGGGCATGTATTTAAGAAGTACTTAACAGAGGAAGAGAGCTATCTTAAGTTCCTTAATGAGAAGCAATTTGGCTTTAGGAATCCTAAGTTTTGTGAGGAGACTAGAAAAGCATACTTTGACATTCATTTGCTACAGTTATTTTCTTGACTTTTCCATGTATGTTCCCTTAAAAGAAGTCCATCTGCTAGTTCTAGGGATTGAGTCACCGATAATGCCTGTGAAGTGGCGGAGGGAAGTTGGAGTCCAGGAGATTTTAGAGAAGGTAAAGACATAATATTGTTAAGGTCTAAATTAGAACTCCTCCCACCCCCCAGTAAAAAATCTGGGACTGGTGTTGGAGAGATAAAGGGGGTAGAATAATAGGAATTTCTGCCCTCGGTGTCCATTGCATACCTCTGTATGTAGTTACCCAGAGTTGTTCCTGCCAGGCACTCAAGTGCTTTCAAGTAATGAGTTTGCAATTTAACCATAATATCAATAAATCAAATGATAAAAAAAACACGTGATAGGAAAGATAGTTGAAATACAGACCAGGTTCTTAAAGGATTAACCACTTATATATGTATTACTTCTATATTAAATTGGTATATTATTGTTCCATGTTGGCGACTAAGCCTTAGTGATTTTTTTTTTTTTTTTTTTTTTTTGGAAACAGAGTTCACTCTTGTTGCCCAGGCTGGAGTGCCCAAATGGCTCAATCTTGCCATCCCGGGTTCAAGAATTCTCAGCTGCCATCAGCCCTCCTGAGTATCCTTGGGATTACAGGCATGTGCACCAAGCCTTGGCCTATTTTGGTATTTTACGTAGAGATGGGGGTTTCTCCGCTTGGTCAGACTGATCTCGAACTCCCGGAACCTCAAGGTGGTCTGCCCCGTTATGATTCTCCTAAAGTGTTGGATTACAGGCATCTTAACCACCATGCCCCGGGCTGGTTTTTTTTTTTTAAAAGAAAATTTTCCAAGGACAACCAGGCAACGTATTAGAGTGTGGTTGATTGTTTGTTTGAGACGATCTCCCTCTGTTGCTAAGCTGAATGTTCAGTGGCATGAATCTTGGCTCCCTGCGCACTTTCCGCCTCACCCGGTTCAAAGCGATTATTCTGCCCTCAGCCCGTCCCAAAGTAGCTAGGACGTGCCACCACGCCTGGCTAATTTTTTTTGTATTTTTTAGTAAAGAACAAGGTTCAACATACTGACCAGCCCTGGTCGCAAACTCCTTGGACCTCGTGAATCTGCTGCCTCGACTCTCCCAAAAGTTGGTAGGCATTACACGGCGTGGGAGCCACCGTGCCTGGCCTGTATCTAGTTATTTTAAAAATTTGTGCCTGCCAGTGCACCGCCAATACAAAAATTAGGCTCGTCGCGTGGTGGCAGCGCCTGCATCCTAGCCTTACCAGGGAGGCGAGGCAGAGAATTGCTTGAACCCGGGCGGAAGGTGGGGGCGGGGGCGGGGGCGGGGGCCAGCCAAGATTGCGCCATGCACCCAGCCTGGGCAGAAGGAAATGTACAGGCAATATAAAATGATATCTAGAGATACTTGACAAGCTGGAGCAGCAAAACCTACCGAGCAGTGCTAGGGCATCATTTAGAGGTATAAAATGATGCTAATATCCCGATTTCCAAAACACTCTGTAAATGCTAGTTTACTTTTCTCAAGTTGAAACCCACCACATTACGTGGGGAAAGGGGCAGTTAGATTATTGGTTGAACTTGTGTTTTCATTAATCCATTGTTGAAAGTTAGAGGGGAGCAGGCCGGTGCGCGGGCTCAAGTCTGGTAATCCCCAGCCAACTTTGGTGGCGCCGAGAACGGGTGGGATCACGGGTCAGGAGATCGAGACCATCTTGGCTTAACACAGTGAAACCCCGTCCCTTACTAAAAAATACAAAAAAACTAGCCGGGCAGGTGGCGGGCGCCCTGTAGTCCCAGCTGCTTGGAGGCTGAGGCAGGAGAATGCCTGAACCCGGGAGGCGGAGCTTGCAGTGAGCTGAGATCCCGGCCACTGCACTCCAGCCAGGGGGGACAGAGTGAGACTCCAATCTCAAAAAAAAAAAAAAAAAAAAAATAAAAAAAAAAAAAAGAAAAGTAGGGGAGTTGGTTTAGTTGAGAAAACAAAATACTAAAAAATCTGCCACTAAACTCTTTTAAGAGTTTGTCTAGACTGTATAAAATGAAAGATATCTACTATGTAATCTCTGAAAGTATTTTTAATTCTAAAGTTAAGTGTGATTTTTAGTGCTGTTGCTGAGGCCAATGTTGCTTAATTCAGGAACTTCTACAGTAATTGACAAAACTTGAGTTCTTCTGCTCTCATTTATCTATCCTTCAGACCCCTCAGATGTTATCTATTTCCTGAAATCTGACTTCTCTGATCTTAGTGATTCTTAGACTTTTCCAGGATTTAGATAGTACTGTACAGTTTGCTGCTATGTGTATCTGTCTTTAATACTTGTTGTTTTCAGATATATTAATGCCTCATTTGTGGTATAAATCAGACTTTCTGTCTTCTACCAGTTATGTAATTTATATAATTGTTGCAGTACATGTTTGTTGATTTACTAGGCTGGATTGATGTTACAGAATTGGTAATCTTGGTTGGGCATGGTGGCACATGCCTATAATCCCAGTACTTTAGGAGGACAAGGCAGATGAATCTCTTGAGTTTAGGAGTTGGAGACCTGCTTTAGCAATAAAGCGAAACCCTGCCTCTACAAAAAAAAAAAATACAAAAATTAACAGGGCATGGTGGCATCTGCCTAGAGTCCCAGCTACTTTGGAGGCTGAGGTGGGAGGGTCCTTTGATCCTGGGATTTCAAGGCTTCAGTAAGCTGCAATTGCACCATTTACAGCATGAGACCCTGCCTTAAAAAATGGGGTGCGGATGTTAATCTTGGCTAGATGTCTGTTTTGATTGTTAGGATGAATTGTGTTCATAGTATTTTTCTAAAATGTTCTATCCAGATAAACTTGTTTATTCATCTCAAACAGGGAGAGACTCTGAAAACTTGTCTTAGAATTTCCTAGTGTCACCTAGGCAGTTACTTTTTATGAGGGTCAAGTGCAAAATAAATCAAAAATTTCCCTTCTCTGTACGTAACAAGGTAATGTAATAACATGGAACCACAACATCAGTGTTTTAGCAAATTACACACTTAAGATTGAAAATGGCTACATATTTTTTTTTTTTTGAAATGGCGCCTCTTTCACCCAGGCTGGAGTGCAGTGGTATCATCTCAGCTCACTGAAACATCGGCTTCCCGGGTTTAAGCAATTCTCCTGCCTCAGCCTCCTGAGTAGCTGGGACTACAGGCATGTGCCACCACATCCAGCTAATTTTTATATTTTTAGTAGAGATGGGGTTTCACCATTTTGGCCAGACTGGTCTCAAACTACTAACTTCAGGTGATCCATGCTCTTCGGCCTCCCAAAGTGCTGGGATTACAGGTGTGAGCCACCGTGCCTCGCCCCAATTTTTTTTTTTTTTTAAATTGATATAGAGTTTTGCTCTTGTTTGGAGTGCAGTGGTGTGATCTTGGCTCACTGCAACCTCTGCCCCCTCCCCGGATTCAAGTGATTCTCCTACCTCAGCCTCCCAAATAGCTGGGATTACAGGCATGCGCCACTGCGCCTGGCTAATTTTGTATTTTTAGTGGGGACGGAGTTTCTCCATGTTGGTCCGACTGGTCTCGAACTCTCGACCTCAGGTGATCCTCCCGCTTTGGCCTCCCAAAGTGCTGGGATTACAGGTGTGAGCCAGTGAGCCACTGCACCCGGCCTTCAGTTGTTTTTTAAATAGACCTTCCAACTCAGTAGATGCCAGAAACCATGTGTTCAATATTTGAAATTATAATATTTTGATATATAAACTGCATCTATCAGATTGCCTGTTGAACCCAAAAACTTTTCTTTTTAACAGTTATTCCAGTTTTTGGTTTGAAAAAGTGTTTGGTTTAAAAAATGTTACTTTAGCCATTTTTATTAAACTTTATGCCAAAAAAAATCAATGTATGTCAGAAAGTGTTCATAATTATGGAAGTTTTCTCTTTGGATAGGCTCGCATGTCTTGGGATAGAGAGTCGACAGAAATTCGGTACCGTAGACTTCAACATTTGCTTGAAAAAAGCAATATCTACTCCAAATTTTTGTTGACAAAAATGGAACAGCAACAATTAGAGGTATGTATATGTAACTGACTATAAGTGAAAGCTTAAAAAAATTTAAAAATAGCTTTATTGAAGTGTACATTATATACACTAAAATATACAGATTTTAAGTGTACAGTTTGCTGAGTTTGACTAGTAAATATATAGATCTGTGTAACCACCAGCACAATCAAGACACAGTGCATTTCCATGAACTCCAAAAAATTGTCTTGTGCTGACAGTGATCCCAATGGCTGGTGTCCAGCAACCACAGTGCTTTCTGTCACTATAGACCAGTATTGTTTTTTCCTAGAAAATTGTATAAATGAAATCATGGTATTGTGCTTTTATGAGTAAATAGTTGGTCTTCATCACCATTTGCTGGTATAGAACTCTTAAAATCCTTGGAATCTTCAACGTTGTGTGTTTTTTTTTTTTTTTTTAAATGCTAATGATCAGTGGCTAGCAGCCCTTAGGTAGCTTCAGGATGGAAGCCTAAGAAAGACAAAGCCTGGATTAGAGGGTTGGGATTTAGCCTCACCCTCAACTTTGAGGGAAAAAAGGGGGACTGAAAGTTAAGTTGTTCACCAGTGGTCATGATTGAATCAATCATGTCTATGTTATGAAGCCTTCATTAAAAACCCAAAAGGGCTGGGCGTGGCTCATGTCTGTAATCCCAGCACTTTGGGAAGCCTAGGTGGGTGGATTGCTTGAGCCCGGAAGTTTGAGACCAGCCTGGGTAACATGACAAAACCCTATCTCTGATAGACAGATTAGCTAGGTAAGGTGGCATGTGCCTCTAGTCCCAGCTACTTGGGAGGCTGAGGCAGGAGGACGCTTGAGCCAAGGAGATTGAGGCTGCAATGAGCTATGATGGCACCACTGCATTCTAGCCTGGGTGACAGAGCAAGACCCTGTCTCAAAAATAAAACACAACAGGCTGGGGGCTGTGGCTTACGCCTCTGATCCCAGCACTTTGGGAGGCCACGGTGGGTGGATCACTTGAGCCCAGGAGTTCGACACCAGCCTGAGTAACGTAGTGAAAACCCGTCTCTGCCAAATATATGAAAATTAGCCGGTCATGGTGGTGTGTGCCTGTGACCCCAGCTACTTGGGAGGCTGAGGCAGGAGGATCGCTTGAACCTGGGAGGCGGAGGTTGCAGTGAGCCGAGATTGCACCACTGGAGCACACCATTATGTCTGTCTTATTTTTGTATTTTTTGTAGAGACACAGTTTTGCTGTGTTGCCAAGGCTTGTCTAGAACTCCTGGGCTCAAGTGGTCTGCTTACCCTGGCCTCCCAAAGTGCTGGGATTACAGGTGTGAGCCACTGCGCCCGGACTATCATATTCTTTATAATAAACCAATAAACTTTAGTGTTTCTTTGAGTTCTGTAAGCTCCTCTAGCAAATTAGTCAAACCCAAAGAGGGGCTTGTGGGAACCCTGATTTATAGCTGTTCAGTCAGAAGCACAGGTAAAGTGACTTGGGCCTTGTGATTGGCATCTGGAACTGGTAGGTAAAGTCTTGGGGACTGAACCCTCAACCTATGGGGTATGGTGCTGTCACACGGTAGATAGTGTCAGAATTTAATTACAATAGAGGACACCTAGCCGGTGTCACTGCAGAAATGCTTTTTGGTGTATAGGGAAAACCCCCACACATTGGGTCACAGAAGTCTTTTGTGTTGATTGTTGAGTGTGTAGGGAGAAACTGAGTTTTTTTTTTTCTCAATATTCTTGCACATATGCACTCTTTGTCTTGTTACTTTTGCTCAGTGTATTTTTGAGATTAATTCATGTCATGTTTTTCTGTAGGTTATTCTTTTTATTCCTGAGAAGGATTCCATTAAGAAATGTCGTTATTGGAGTGTAATTGACATACACTAAACTGCACATATTTAAAATGTACAATTCCCTAAGTTTTGATATAGGGATATACTTGTGAAGACATAACAATCATGATAGTGGACATACCCACTGATTGCAAAGAATTCTTTCGGCTCGTTTATAATTTTTCTTCCCCATCCCTACCCCATGTTCTATCCACAGATAGCCAATTGATCGGTTTTCTGTTATTATAGGTTCATTTGCATTTTCTGTTGGTGATGTGTTCTTTTAGCTTTCATATATCTGAATGTCTTCACTTACCTTCATTTTTGAAATACATTTTTACTGGTAAAGAATTGTTTTTCTTTAGTACTTTATTTCTTAGAGTACTTTAAAGATGTTTCACTGTCTCCTGGCTTATGTTGTTTCTGAAAAGTGAAAGTCCTGATAATATCTATATGTCTGTAAGCAATTTGATTGCCTCCCTCAATCCCATTACCTTTCAGACCTGTCTCCAGATGTGTTTCCTGTCTTGGGCTTTTGCCCTTGCTATTTTATGCCTGGAACCTTCTTCCTCTAAATAACTGCATGGCTTAACTTCATCTTCAAGCCTTGACTTAAATGATTTCTAGATGAGACCTGCCCTCACAATTTTAAGAAAGTTGCTGACACACCTGATTCTCTTTACCTTGTTCTGTTCTTCCCATTGCACTTTTCATCTGATATACATCGTTTTTTGTATTTATTGTTTGTCTTTCCACTAGACTGTTATGAAGATTTAAAAACTTGTGCAAATTGAGAGAATACAGTAAGTCCCTGTGTTCCCATCACCCACATTTACCAATTATCAGTTTAAATTTTGCTGTGTTTATAAAATCTCCTTTTTCCTTTGTTTGAAACCCTTTTATTGCTTTTTTATGGTAAAGTAAAACAAATGGAAAAACAAATATTCAACTTAATGAGTTACACAGCATCTACCCCTTTCATCACCTCTTGGAAATGGTTTGAATTTTTGGTGTCTTTTAAACATTTGTAAGAGTATGTCTAGAATAGCTTTTAGTCTAGGAGTAAGTTGATCCCTTTCTTGAGCACTCTACTTGATGCCCTTTATATTAAGAGGACTTTCCACTTTGGCTGAGAGAATGTGAGGTATACCTTATTATGCCTGACCCCTTGGAACATGAGCGGTTCCACCTACTTCTTTCTGGTGACTTTTCTCCTGGCCTTGGTTACCATGCACTTACCAGTAGTCAGCCCGAGAGAGAGGTAACAGCTGCCTTTGTGCAGCTCTGTCCTCTCTGGTACTTGACCCTGGGAATGCTACTGCTTTGTTTTTTAAGTTTTTTGTTTTTTAAGTTTTGGGTTCTGTCTCCTCAGCACAAAGAGACTGTTGGGCTCTGTTTGGAGTTTTCTCCATTATTTATACTTTAAAATTGTATCAGGCAATAAGCTGGGCAGTCAGAAGATTAACCTTGTTTCCCTTTTGTCAATGTTTATAGTTCGTTACTGCATGTTGTCTGAAAACCACTGTTTAATAAATTTTATCTGGATTTTAGTTTAAGGCAGGATGGTAAATCTGTCCCATTAGTCCATAAAGGCTTGTTGAAGTACAAGTTCCTCCCTGTTTTTTAATTATGATAGACCTTAGTTTCTCATTGTAAACATAAGTTATTTGATAATTGATATGCGTTTTTTTTTTTAATGTTGCACTTCCCACTTGTGACATAAGAAAAAATTATCTTACAGGAACAGAAGAAGAAAGAAAAATTGGAGAGAAAAAAGGAGTCTTTAAAAGTTAAAAAGGTAATATAACCAGCCAGAATATTTTTTATGTCATTTAAATATTGAAGAAATACTTTTGTATTCTTCTGACTTTTTTGATCATCTGTTTAACTTTAACTTTTTTTTGGGTTTTTTTTTTTTTGAGATGGAGTCTCGCTCTGTGGCCTCAGCTCACTGCAAGCTTCGCCTCCCGGGTTCATGCCATTCTCCTGTCTCAGCCTCCCAAGTAGCTGGGACTACAGGTGCCCGCCACCACGCCCGGCTAATTTTTTGTATTTTTAGTAGAGACGGGGTTTCACCGTGTTGGCCAGGATGGTCTTGATCTCCTGACCTCGTGATCCACCCGCCTCGGCCTCCCAAAGTGCTGGGATTACAGGCATGAGCCACCACGCCCAGCCTGTTTTCTCTTACTCTCACAACAGTTCTTATTAGGTAGAGGTACTTTTCTCCCCCATTTTACATAAACAGGCTGATGCAAGGAGATAAAGAACAGTCATTCTTCATTATTCAAGGATTCTATGTTTGTGAATTTGCCAACTCACTTAAATTTACTTGTAACCCCAGAGTCAAGATTCCTAACACCGTCATGGTCATTTTTGGACATGCTTATGTTCAGAGCAGCAAATAATTTTAGTCTTCCAATACATATGTTCCAAGCTCAGCTCAAACATGGGTTGCTACTGTATGTATGTCAAGCATATGTCCTTCTCATGGTCTTCATTTAGCACCATGATTTTTGCATTTTTGTGTGCTTTTCCTGGTGATTTTGCTGTTAAAATGGCCCCCAAGTGTACCAAAGTGCTGTCTAGTGTTTCTAAGTACAAAAAAGCTGTGCCATATGGAGAAAGTGTGTCTTGGGTAAGCTTCATTTAGGCATGAGGTACAGTGCTGTTGGCCATGAGTTCAATTTTTATTTTATTTTTATTTTTATTTTTATTTTTTTGAGACAGAGTCTTGCTCTGTCGCCCAGGCTGGAGTGCAGTGGCGCAGTCTCAGCTCACTGCTACCTCCACCTCCTGGGTTCAAGCAATTCTTCTGCCTCAGCCACCCGAGTAGCTGGGACTACAGGTGTGTGCCACCATGCCTGGCTAATTTTTGTATTTTTAGTAGAGACGGGGTTTCACCATATTGGACGGGCTGGTTTCGAACTCCTGACCTCGTGATCTGCCCACCTTGGCCTTCCAAAGTGCTGGGATTACAGGCGTGAGCCACTGTGCTTGGCCGGCCCTGAGTTCAGTATTAATCAACATATATATTAAATAAGATATCTTTAAAAACAGAAACACAAAGAAAACAGGGTTGTGTATTGTTGGTTGAAAATGTCATAACCAGAGTCAGGGACCCAACTGTATTTTTCCTAGGGGCAGTAAGTCATTAGTCATAGTGATTTTATTGAACCACAAGTACTGCAGATAATGAGAGCTGACTCTCATTATCTGAAATGAGAATTGCTGAAAATTATGGATTTGAACCCAGGATTAGTTTAAGAACTTCTACTTAGCTTCTATGCTAAACTGCCTTTATTTTTATTTATTTATTTTTTTGAGATGTAGTCTTGCTCTGTCACCTAGGCTGGAATGCAGTGGCGTGATTTCGGCTCACTGCAACCTCCACCTCCTGGGTTCAAGCAATTTTGTGCCTCAGCCTCCCAAGTAGCTGGGATTACAGGCGCCTGCCGCCGCACCTGGCTAATTTTTGTATTTTTAGTAGAGACAGGGTTTCACCATCTTGGCCAGGCTGGTCTTCAACTCCTGATCTCATGATCCTCTTGCCTTGGCCTCCCAAAGTACTGAGATTAAGTCCAGTTATTTGATTCTTAGGCTAGTTAATGGTGATGTTAAAATGCCTGATAAAGTATTTTGCAGACTATTTTGCAACAAAACCCATTATTATTATTATTATTATTATTTTTTTTTTTTTTGAGACGGAGTCTCACTGTGTCTCCCAGGCTGGAGCGCAGTGGCGCGATCTCGGCTCACTGCAAACTCCGCCCCCCGGGTTCACGCCATTCTCCCGCCTCAGCCTCCCAAGTAGCTGGGACTACAGGCGCCCGCTACCACGCCCGGCTAGTTTTTTGTATTTTTTAGTAGAGATGGGGTTTCACCATGTTAGCCAGGATAGTCTCGATCTCCTGACCTTGTGATCCACCCGCCTCGGCCTCCCAAAGTGCTGGGATTACAGGCTTGAGCCACCGCGCCCGGCCTCAAAACCCATTATTTAAAACTGGTAATACTGCTAGGTGTGGTGGCTCACGCCTGTCCCAGCACTTTGGAAGTCTGAGGCAGATGGATTCCTTGAGGCCAGGAGTTCGAGACCAGCCTGGTCAACATGGTGAGACCCTGTACTCTAGTCTGGGCCATAGAGGGAGACTCTGTTCCTAAATAAATAAATAAATAAAACTGGTAATACTGAGTCTACTGAGAGAGAGTATTAAAAAAATAAAAATGGGCTGGGCATGATGGCTCATATCTGTAATCCCGGATCACCTGAGGTCAAGAGCTGGCGACCAACCTGGCCAACATGGTGAAACCCAGTCTCTACCAAAAACACAAAAATTAGACGGGTGTGATGGCAGGTACCTGTAATCCCAGCTACTTGGGAGGCTGACAGGAGAATCACTTGAACCTGGGAGGCGGAGGTTGCAGTGAGCTGAGCTCATGCTACTGGACTCCAGCCTGGGTGACAGAGCAAGACACCATCTCTAAAAAAACAAAAAACAAAAAAACCGCTGATTCTTGACTCACTTGCTAATTTCAGAGACCTAGAGCTTTTCAGATTTTTATTTTCATAGAGACAGGGCTTCACTGTGTTGCCCAGGCTGGTCTCGAACTCCTGGGCTCAAGCTGTCCCCCACACCCACACCTTGGCTCCCAAAGTGCTGGGATTACAGGCATGAGCTAGCACAACTGGCCTTACCTAGGGGTTTTGAACAACATGTTTTTATTTATATGATAATTTTACTGGCTTAGTCATTTATTCCCTGCTCTTGAACCTGTTAATTTTAATATATCCTTCACTTTATTCCACCTAGCTGTTTATATCAGGGTTTTGATTTTTTTCCCCTCTGCTTTTTTCTTAAAGGTGTCAACTGTTCTGCCTACTCTAATGGCACCAGTCCTTTTTCGGTATTTTCTTGTTTAATCTTCAGACTTTGTAACTTAATTTAAAAATTCATTATATATATATTTTTGTCATTTTATCATACATATTGTTCAACTATTCTTGATATAATAGTTTCCCAACTCTTATTTTGAAACTTAAAAAAATTTTTAGAGGCGATGTCTCAGTAGCCCAGGCTAGAGTTCAATAGCTCCATAGTAGTTCACTACAGCTTTGAACTCCTGGGGTCAAGCCATCTTCCCACCTCAGCCTCCTGAGTAGCTGAAACTACAGGTGCACACCACCAAGTTCAGCTAATTTTTACATTTTTTAAAGAGATGGGGATCTTGCTTTGTTGCCCAAGCTGGTCTTACACTCCTGACTTCAAGCAGTCTACTACCTAGTCCTTCTAAAGTGCTGGGATTATAGGCGTGAGCCACTGCACCTGGCCAGAAACTGTTTCTTAACATCTCATTTCCAGGCCGAGCGCGGTGGCTCAAGCCTGTAATCCCAGCACTTTGGGAGGCTGAGACGGGCGGATCATGAGGTCAGGAGATCGAGACCATCCTGGCTAACAAGGTGAAACCCCATCTCTACTAAAAATACAAAAAATTAGCCGGGCGTGGTGGCAGGTGCCTGTAGTCCCAGCTACTCGGGAGGCTGAGGCAGGAGAATGGCGTGAACCCGGGAGCTGGAGCTTGCAGTGAGCTGAGATCGCGTCTCTGCACTCCAGCCTGGGCCACAGAGCCAGACTCGGTCTCAAAAAAAAAAAAAAAAAAAAAAAAAAAATCTCATTTCCCTTACCTTCCTCACTAATAATTTTCAGTTAGTATTCTCTTTTATTTCTGCTTTGGGTTATATTTAATGTATGAATTTCATTCACAATGAATATTCCTTCAATTCCCTACCTATTGAATATCTTTAGTGTAATGTATAAAGATGTACATGGTATTTCTAAATAAAAATGCCAACTGTGGGCTGAGCGCAGTGCCTCACGCCTGTAATCACAGCGCTTTGGGAGGCCTAGGCGGGTGGATCACCTAAAATCAGGATTTCAAGAGCAGCCTGGCCAAAATGGTGAAACCCCATCTCTACTAAAAATACAAAAATTAGCCGGGTATGGTGGCAGGTGCCTGTAATCCCAGCTACTCGGGAGGTTGAGGCAGGGGAATCTCTTGAACCTGGGAGGCAGAGGTTGCAGTGAGCCGAGATTGTACCATTGCACACTAGCCCGGGCAACAAGAGTGAAACTCCGTCTCCAAAAAACAAACGAAATGCCAGCTGTGTTTAATTTTGAAATTTCTCTTCTAAATGGAAAAATAATGGACAGAAGTAGAACTGTTGGGAAAAAGCAGAGATTATGAACAAGTTGTAGTAGGGAAATACCGAAAATATTACATGTAGGTAAGTATAATAGTGAAAAATTATTTGTGAATGTGGCTCAACTGCAAGAAACATTTTTTTCCTCAAGTTAATCAGTGCCTTTTAATGTATAATACTATAAAGTTCATTAGTAAAATCAATATTCTGAATCCTTGTTTTGTAGGGTAAAAATTCAATCGATGCAAGCGAAGAGAAGCCAGGTAAACATCCTTATTCTAGTTTTGAATAATATATGTTTATATTTCTATTTTAATTGCTATCAAAAATAAAATTTTTTTTTATAGTTATGAGGAAAAAAAGAGGAAGAGAAGATGAATCATACAATATTTCAGAGGTCATGTCAAAAGAGGTAAAAATAAAAGGGAGAGGGTACCTAACATTTGATGTTGAGTAAAATGTAGGTTTTAAACCACCTTAAAGCTGTAAGGATTGAATATTCAATATCACATCAAATATGTTTTTAATTTAATATTATATATCATTTATAGATGAAGTTGCCAAAATGTTTGAAGCTATCTACCAACCTACAGTAGACTTGAGACTAATCTGAAACTAATGTCATCTGACCTTCATAGACTTTTTTTTTGAGGTGGAGCTTTGTGGTCCATGCTGCCTTGGCTCACTGCAACCTCCACCTCACGGGTTCAAGCGATTCTCTTGTCCCAGCCTCCCAAGTAGCTGGGATAACAGGCGCCCACCACCACGCCTGGCTAATTTTTGTATTTTTAGTAGAGATGGGGTTTCACCATGTTGGCCAGGCTGGTCTTGAACTCCTGACTTAAGGTGATCTGCCCACCTCGGTCTCCTAAAATGCCAGATTACAGGCGTGAGCCATTGCGCACGTCCTCACTTAAGTGGCAAATAGATTTACACCTTTAGGTTGTTCTGGTTTTCTTTTCTTTCCTTCTTTTGTTTCCTTCCTTCCTTCCTTTCTGCCTTTCTAGCTTCCTTCTTTTTTTTTCTTCTTTTCTTTTTTTGAGACAGGGTATAACTCTGAGACTCAGGCTGGAGTGCAGTGGCACAATCATGGCTCACTGCAGCGTCAACCTCATGGGCTCAAGTGATCCTTCTACCTCAGCCCCCTGAGTAGCTGGGACTACAGGTGTGTGACACCATGCACAGCTGGCTAATTTTTAAATTTTTTGTAGCGACGAGGTCTCATGTTGCTTAGGCTGCTCTTGAACTCCTGGGTTCAAACGATCCTCTTGCTTTAGCCCCCCAAACTGCTGAAGAGTACACGTGTGAGCCAGTGTGCCCAGCTTTATGCTGGTTTTCTTTTTTTTGTGGGGGGCGGGCGGGAGTGAGACAGAGATTTACTGTTGTTGCCCAGGCTGGAGTGCAATGGTGCAGTCTCAGCTCACCGCATCCTCCGCCTCCCAGGTTCAAGCGTTTCTCCTGTCTCAGCCTCCTGAGTAGCTGGGATTACAGGCATGTGCCACCACACCCGGCTAATTTTGTATTTTTAGTAGAGATGGGGGTTTCACCGTGTTGCCCAGACTAATCTTGAACTCCTGACCTCAGGTGGTCTGCCTGCCTCGGCCTCCCAAAGTGCTGGGATTACAGTCATGAGCCACTGCTCCCGACCTATGCTGGTTGCTTTATTTGGGTTATTATAGAAAACAGTAATAGCTTTGACTCTACCAATTATCTTGTGGTTGTAAAGTACCTAGTAGACTTGTATTTTGCAAGGAACTGTGGAAACAACAGGCGTGGCCATACAGCTTAAAATTACATATAATATGTTGTGGAGAGGTGGGGGGAAAGGGTAGGGTAGTAAAGACAATGACCAGAGCAGAGAAGTGTTTTAGGGAAAAAGATTGTTACTTGTTAAAGGAGTCTGAGCCTGGCCTAGTCAGAAATTGTTACTATAATTTAACTTTTTGTAACCCCTAACCTTGTCTTAAGAACTTTATTCTTGTTCTTTGTTGAAGACTTTTACGAATCTGAAATCATATGCTCATTTCTAAAACCAACTTCTTTTTTTCATTTCTCACTTTTTGCTTCAAAATATGAATGAATTAGAGCATCTTCAGTTCTGACAAACCAATTCCTTAGCATGTTTTTAATGTGTCACATTCTCTTTTTTCTTGGAGACAGAGTCTTGCTCTGTCCCCAGGCTGGAGTGCAGTGGCACGCATGATCTAGGCTCACTGCTGCAAGCTCTGCCTCCCAGATTCAAACAATTCTTATGCCTCAGCCTCTGAGAAGCTGGGATTACAGGCACCTATTTGTATTTAGTAGAGACAGGGTTTTGCCGTGTTGGCCAGAATGGTCTTGAACTACTGACCTCAGGTGATCCTCACACCTTCGTCTCCCAAAGTGCTGGGATTACAGGCGTGAGGCACCACTCCTGGCCACATTCTTATATTTAATAAAAAGCACAACTCTATTGTCTACTGTTGTTCTTTTACCTGAAGTTCAGACTTTTTAGCTCTTCATAAGAAAAATTTGCATAATACTTTTCCTTTAGGGATGCAGCGATAGTTTTTCATTGAAAAATAATTATCAGGGGGCTGGGAGCAGTGGCTCACGCCTGTAATCCCGGCACTTTGGGAGACTGAGGCGGGTGGATCACGTGAGGCTAGGAATTCGAAACCTGTCTGGCCAACATGATGAAACCCCATCTCTACTAAAAATACAAAAATTAACTGGGAATGGTGGCTCGCGCCTGTAGTCCTAGCTACTCAGAAGGCTGAGGCAGGAGAATTGCTTGAACCTCGGAGGCAGAGGTTGCAGTGAGCTGAGATCGTGCCACTGCACTCCAGCCTAAAAAAAAAAAAAAAAAAAAAGTTAGGGCCCACCGAAATTGATTATGGTATCCATTCAACTTGCAGTTTAAAACACTTTTAGGTTGGGCGCAGTGGCTCATGCCTGTAACCCCAGCACTTTGGGAGGCCAAGGTGGGAGAATCACCTGAGGTCAAGAGTTCTAGGCCAGCCTGACCAACATGGAGAAACCCCTTCTCTACTAAAAATACAAAATTAGCCGGGCGTAGTGGCACATGCCTGTAATCCCAGCTACTCGGGCAAACTGAGGCAGGAGAATCGCTTGAGCTCTGGAGGCGGAGGTTGCGGTGAGCCAAGATGGCAGGCACCATTGCACTCCAGCCTGGGCAACAAGAGTGAAACTCTGACTCAAAAAGGAAAAACCACTTTTAATATGCCATAGTGAAGTTTAGCCAGTCATACAGCTGTTTATTTAATTTGTTAAATGGTTGTGGAATATTGGTTTGGAGCAAACTTTGTCATAGGTGGATGAAATCCATTAGTAAAGAAAGGTAAACGCTGTCTTCACCTTAGCCTACATACAGAGAGATATATAGGAGTAAGTAGTAAATGAAATTGAATTTTTTTTTTTTTTTTGAGACAATGTTTCTATTACCCTGGCTTGAATGCAGCTGGCACAATCTCAGCTCACTGCAGCCTCAACCTCCCAGACTCAAGTGATCTTCCTATCTCAAACTCCCCAGTAGCAGGGACTCTGTGCATGTGCCACCAGGCCTGACTGAGTTTTGTATTTTTTGTAAAGATGGGGTTTTGTCATGTTGTCTACGCTGGTCTTGAATTTTTGGGCTCCTGCCTCGGCTTCCCAAAGTGCTTGGAGTACAGGTCTGAGCCACTGTGCCTGGTTGGTAATTGGATGTTTATATACCGTATTAGAGGGCCTCTTCACTCAGGCATGCAGTTCCTGAACGTTTTCATCTAGGAAAAGGAAGTGATATCTATGTTGTGACTTGAAGGATAAAAGTTAAATTATTTAAAGGTGGGATTAATAGGGAAAGAGTAAATTACAGGGAAGATAGTGGGGGGGTGTGTTTTAGGAAGAAATTAAAGCATTGAACAAATATCCAGGGTCAGGAGAGACTGGCAGTTTAAAAAAACTTGAAGGAAATTATATTTGCCTCCAATTTGTATATAAGTGAAAAGAGTGATGAAGGAAGGATGAAGCTGTAGATGTAAGCATGGTCAGGAGTTTAAGGCTGCCCTAAGTAAAGTAGGAAGCTATCGAAAGATTTTAAGCAATTTTCATTTTGGTGAATCACTTGGCTAGTGTGTTCAGAGATCTGTGGGCATACCAGTTTTTCTTTCTTTCCTTTTCTTTTTCTTTTTTTTTTTTTTGAGACAAGGTTTCACTGTGTGGCCCAGGCTGGAGTGTGCAGTGGCGTGATCTCGGCTCATTGCAACCTCCGTCTCCCAGTTCAAGCAATTCTGTTACCTCAGCTCCCTGAGTGGTCCAGCACCTGGGACTACAGGCACGTGCCACCACGCCTGGCTAAGTTTTTGTATTTTTTGGTAGAAAGGTGGTTTCACCATGTTGGCCAGGCTGGTCTCAAACTCCTGACCCAAAGTGATCTGCCTGCCTCTGCCTTCCAAAGTGCTGGGATTACAGGTGTGAACCACCATGCCTGACCGTATACCAGTTATTCTTTCATTTACTGTTATTTCTTTCTTCTGTGTATTTACTGAATTTCCTGCTCTCTTTTCCTCTTTGCCTAAATTCTTTTCATTGTTTGCATCTCACGTTACTTGCTGAAGAATCTCTAAATCTACGAATACATTTGGAGATGTGTTACCCCTATTGAATGTTCTGTCACTGTGAACCCTGCTCCTCCAAATTATCCCATCTATTTATTCACCTTTTCCTTCCTCACTGGGTCTTTGCCTTTCAATTATAGATACATTGTGTTTTCGTGTCTGCAGAACAAAAATTTTTGAACCAGTCTTTCTAGATTGTCCTGTTTTCTATTCTTTATTTCCAAGTTTTTTTTTGAGACAGAGTTTCGCTCTTGTTGCCCAGGCTGGAGTGCAATGGCACCGAATTGGCTCATTGCAGCCTCCGCCTCCCAGGTTCAAGCGATTCTCCTGCCTCAGCCTTCCCGAGTAGCTAGGATTACAGGCATGTGCCACCACGCCTGGCAAATTTTGTATTTTTAGTAGAGATCGGGTTTCTCCATGTTGATCAAGCTGGTCTCGAACTCCCGATCTCAGGTGATCCACCCACCTTGGCCTCCCAAAGTGCTGGGATTACAGGCGTGAGCCACTGCACCACCCTATTTCTAAGCTTTTTAAGAGAAGGCTGGACTGGACATGATGCCTGACACCTGTTATACCAGCACTTTGGGAGACCAAGGTGGGAGGATCACTTAAGCCCAGGAGTTTGAGACTAGTTTGGGCAACATGGTGAAATCCTGTCTCTACAAAAAAAAAGAAATTAGCCAGGCGTGGTGGTGTACAGCTTTGGTCCCAGCTGCACAGGAGGCTGAGGTAAGAGGATCACCTGAGCCTGGGGAGGTCAAGGCTGCAGTGAGGTGAATGTGCTACTGCACTGCAGCATGGGCAAGAGAATGAGATCCTGTTTTTTTTTGTTTTTTTTGGAGGCAGAGTCTTGCTCTGTTGCCAGACTGGAGTGCGGTGCTGCAATCTTGACTCACTACAGCTCAACTCCGCCTCAAGCGATTCTCCTGCCTCAGCATCCCGAGTAGCTGGGACTACAGGTGTGTGCCACCACACCCAGCTAATTTTTGTAGTTTTAGTAGAGATGGGGTTTCACCATTTTGGCCAGGATGGTCTCAATCTCTTGACCTCATCATCCGCCTGCCTCAGCCTCCCAAAGGGCTGGGATTATAGGCGTGAGCCACTGCGTCCGGCCCTTTTTTTTTTTTTTTTTTTTTTTAAAAGAGTAGCCTGTACATATTTCCTTACACATTGTGCAGTTGAGCAGTTTTACGTCTGTCAATTGAATTTATTGGGATCTTTGAAATTGATAATCTAGCCCAAAGCAAACAATTTATCTTTTCCTCTTTTTCTTCCCAATCTTGCTCTTTTGTTTTCTCTTTGATGTTAGTGTCAGAACCAGTATCTACTGTGTCATTCAAAACAGAATTTAGGAGGTTATCTGAATTTCCTTATATATCTAGATTTTTATCAATTTCTGTGAGTCATTTCATTCGCTGCTACTCTGGTGTTTATGCCCTTACTCTGCCCTATTGTTAGTAGTTTCTTAATTGATTTTTATAATCCTAGTATAGCTCTCATTCATTGTCAAGAGTACCAGATTGGTTTTTCTGAAGCAAATTTAATCACTCATAACCTCCATTACTTTTTATGGTTTCACAAGGAATTGCATTTTCTTGTAGAAAAATTTGAGACTAAACAAAATATAAGAAAATCACCTGAAAAGCTGTCAAACAGATAATCACTAACATTTTCGTATATGTATATTCTTTTTCTTTGTATTATGGAAAATCTGAAAAATTACAAATATTTAGAGGATAGTAAATTGAATGTCCACCTTTATCACTTTTTTTCTTTTGAGATGGAATTTCCCCCTTCTTGCCTAGGTTGGAGTGCGATGGCATGATCTCGGCTCACTGCAACCTCTGCCTCTCAGGTTCAAGCAATTCTCTTGCCTCAGCCTCCCGAGTAGCTGGGATTACAGGCATGTGCCATCACGCCCCGCTAATTTTATACTTTTATTAGAGACGGAGTTTCTCCATGTTGGTCAAGTGGGTCTCGAACTCCTGACCTCAGGTGATCCGCCTGTCTTGATCTCCCAAAGTGCTGAGATTATAGGCATGAGCCACCCTGCCCAGCCAATCACTTTTTAATTCTGGGATATTTTTAGAAAAAGCTGAGCAAGACTTTTTTTTTTTTTTTTTTTTTTAAGATGGAGTCTCACGCTGTCACCTGGGCTGGAGTGCAGTGGCGGGATCTCAGCTCACTGCAACCTTCGCCTCCTGGGTTCAGGCGAGTCTCCTGTCTCAGCCTCCCAAGTAGCTGTGATTACAAGTGCCTGTCACCACGCCCAGCTAATTTTTTGTATTTTTAGTATTGACACCGTGTTGGCCAGGCTGGTCTCAAACTCCTGACCTTGTGATTTGCCCGCCTTGGCTTCCCAAAGTGCTGGGATTACAGGCGTGAGCCACCGTGCCTGGCCAAGACTTTTGAGCCATAACCACAATACAGTTATCACACTTTTGAAAGTCAATGGTAATTCCTTAATATTTAAATTTCTCAATAGGCTAATTTTTATTTTTAGGGATGGGGGCTTGCTGTATTGACGAGACTAGAGTGCAGTGGCTATTCCTGGGTATTGTCATAGTGACTACACCTCAAACACCTGGGCTCACATGATCCTCCTGCCTCAGTGTCCCGAGTAGCAGTACAGGGAGTATAGGCACTTCCCACTGTGATCTGCTTAGCTCATACCTTTTTAAAAAATGATTGGTTCAAATCAGGATCCAAAAAAGTTACATAAATTGCGTTTGATTAATGTGTGTCTTAGTTCTCTTTTAGATCTAGAGTGTCTCTCATCTTTTTTAAGAAACATTATTTGTTGAAGAAAATGAGTAATTCTGTATAATTCCCCACATTCTGGACTTTACTGATTGTATCCCCATGATTTCTCTGCCTCTTGTGTTTCCTGTTAACTATAGTAACTATAAGTTAAATACAGAAGTTTGTGATTAAGGTTTTTTAAAATTTTTGTTTCTTTTTGTCGAGGGAGGTAGGGTCTTGCTCTGTTGCCCAGGGTGGAGTACAATGGTGCCATCTCGGCTCGTTGCAACCTCTGACTCCTGGGCTCAAGCAATCCTCCCACCTCATCCTCCTGAGTAGCTGGGACTACAGGTGTGCACCACCAAGCCCAGCCAACTTTTATATTTTTTGTAGAGATGGGATCTCACCATGTTGCCCATGCTTGATTTTTAATAAGAATACTTCATTGGTGCTATTTATAGATTTTGATTTATTTCTAAATTGTTCTTTCAAAAGTTTCATTTTATCTACTCATTTTACAGGACAGCTTTATCAGTTCCTGGTATAAATTCCTTTTAGCCTCAGCCTTAGAATATGAATATCTATACGTGTATAATACTTCATATGCACACGATATACACATATTCCCGTGTGTATATATGTGTGTGTGTCACCTACTTACATGTCCTGTTACTCTTCTATGAATCTTAAATTTGATAATGCTGTTTTGAATCTACTTCATCCCCTATACCTTCTGTATTCTCTCTGCTTGAAATCTACCCTCACTATCTTGAATGATGAAGCCTGGTGACAACTTTTTAGATAATTTTATGTAAGATAATTATTTGCTAAGCCACCCAGTGACACTCAGGTATTATTTGTCTCCTTACCATCAGCATCTAGTAGGTACTTCAAAATCAGAGCACTTTATTCTGTATTTTTAATCTGTCTGTCTTTGCCTCTTACCCAGGAATGCAAACTCAGATGTCTATCCACAGAGGTCTAAAGTGGGCTGTAACATGGTTTGCCAGACTTTTTCTGTAAATAGCCAGATAGTAAATATTTTTAGCTTTTGAGTAGTTTTGTGGGCAACTACTTAACCGTGTACTTTGCTATTGTCACTTGAAAGCAGCCATACACAAACCGTAAACAAGTGAGGCCGACTTTGTTCCAATTTATCCCATTTCTTTGCTTTTAAAAAAGTACCTGTGTATTCGCTTAGCTGGAGTTGGTGTACAGGCTGTAGTTTGCTGACCACAGGACTAGAGGTTTGTTGCCATGTGTGAATTTGTACTTAATCTCAGACTAAAAGAAAGAAAAGCTGGAAAACCACTGTATTTGATGAAATATCCCATTGTATAAGTGTTCCCAAATTAGCTTAGAATGTTATGAAATATTATGAGCCAGTAATGTTTATAGGCTTATTTCTGCCTGAAGACCACTAGTTTTAGATCTCTATATTTTAATTATCTTGAGAATCTCATCCTCATTGCCTGGCAAAATAAGCACAGAATAAATGCTTGTTGAATAAATAAATAAATGAACCTCATACATTATTAATTTGTTTTTGTTTTCTCAAACTATTAGGAAATTTTGTCTGTGGCTAAAAAAAATAAAAAGGAGAACGAGGTAAGAGATTTATAAGATTAAGTTTAGAAGTCATATTTACTCCCCAGTTATTAGTCCTTTTTCTGTGATCACCAGTGTACATTTTTCTCACTTTATCCCGTTTCTTTGCTTTAAAAAAATACCTATGTATTCATTTCTTCCATATCCGACATTTTTCTTTTTTATGTATCAACTTTAGTTAGGTATTTTATTGCATGATTCTTGATGTATAAGTGTTAATTTATGGGTCTAGCAATGTTGCTTTTAACTTGTGAATCTGGCAGTGATACAACTGCTCGTAGCCATGTGGATATAAACCATGAGTCATCTTACGGAAGCTGTGAGGGATGCCTTTGATGAAGGATGCCTTAATCTTGCTTCAGACCTTAAAGATTTTTTAAGTTTCTTAAAAGTTCTGTTTGAGAAGGCTTGATTTTCGAGCAGCCTCTTCACTTATCCCATTTTATGTAGAGAGGTTCCTTGTTATCTCACTTTTTATTGCTCAAGTACTGAAAATTACCAGGTTGCATAGGGAAGCAAAATAATCATGACATGAAAATATTCATGAATGGATGTGAACTTCAAGTAGTTAATTTACATATTAAAGATTTTTAGGCCTTTGGGAAATTAATGTAATGTTTATAAAATGAGAGATACTCTATTTGGTCATACAATTTTGTCCAAAATTTATACTATAAAACTGTCTTGATTTTTATTCTTTTGTTAAGTATAAGGACTGGTTTATGGGTGCAGTTTAGTTGGATTTTTAAAGATTTAGTTAGATAAACATTTAGTTGGATTTTTAAGATAAAGTCTTGATGTAATCTTCTATAATTTACCGTGGGATTTTGGGTTCATTTTATAACTTACAGTCAGTCAGGAAGAAATAATTGTTAAGTACTGTATTTTAATGAATTTTGACACTTGGGTACACTTGTGTAACTGCCATCCAAATGAAGGTATAGAACATTTCCATTGTAGAGGGATCTCTTCTGTGTTTTTCTAATTATTTTTCCACCCCTAAACCCAGAGGAGGCCACTTTGTACACCTTTTATAGGATAACTTATTATTTCCCTTCCACTCAACATGTCTATGATACTCATTTATGTTGTTGAGCATTTTAGTAACTGGTTTCTTCTTATTGTTGACTAGTATTCTGTTGAATGAATGTTACAATTTTCTCATCCATCCCCTTATTGATGGGCATTTGGGTTGTTTGCAATTTGTGACTTTTATGAGTAAGGTTGCTATAATAATTTGCATGCAAGTCCATGTGTAGACATGTTTTCATACTTTTTGCCTGTGTACCTGGGAATGGAATTGTTGTGTTACATGGCAAATGTATGTTCATAAGAAAGTAGATTTGTTCCCCCCAAGGTAAATGCATCATTTTATGCTCTTGCCAGCAATGTTTGAAAATTCCAGCTTATATTATTGTCAGCATTTGATAGTCTTTTTAATTTCAGCTATTTTATTAAATGAGAAATGGCAGTGTGTGTGGTTTTTAACTTGCATTTTCCTAATTACTACTGAAGTAGAGTATATTTTTATGTTCTTGATGACTGTATGTTTTCTTTCTTTCTTTTTTTTTTTTTCTTATTCTTTTTGAGATGGAGTCTTGCTCTGTCGCCCAGGCTGGAGTGCAATGGTACGATCTTGGCTCACTGCAACCTCTGCCTCCCGGGTTCAAGCGATTCTCCTGCCTCAGCCTCCCAAGTAGCTGGGATAACAGGTGCACGCAACCACGCTCAACTAATTTTTGTACTTTTAGTGGAGACAGGGTGTCACCATTTTGGCCAGGATGGTTTCGATCTCTTCACCTCGTGATCTGCCCGCCTCGGCCTCCCAAAGTGCTGGGATTACAGGCGTGAGCCGCCATACCTGGCCTATATGTTTTCTTTTGTAAAGTATCTGTTAGTATCTTTTGCCCGTCTCTTTTGCCCGTCTTATTTATGCATACTGTATTTTCTGTGTAACAGTTTAATAAATTATTGAGTGTCACAATATTAGAAGTTTGGAAGAAAGGTATAATTCTAATGATCTTTTCAAAAGTATGTGTCTGATTTTAATTTGTAAGGGTTATTCTCAGATTTTTTATATTTTATTTTATTTTAGTTTTTTGAGGCAGTCTCCTGTCACCCAGGCTGGAGTGCAGTGGTTGTGTTCATGGCTCACTGCAGCCTTGACTTCCTGGGTTCGAGTGATCCTCAGCCTCCCGAGTAGCTGGGATACAGGCAGTTGCGTGCAACCAAATCCGCTAATTTTTTGTATTTTTAGTAGAGACAGGGTTTCGCCATGTTGTCCAGGGTGGTCTTGGACATCTGGATTCAGGTGATCCTCCTGCCTCAGCTTCCCAAAGTGCTGTGATTATAGGATTAGCCACTGTGCCAGCCTGTTACTGTTTTTTTTAAAGTAGCTTTTCATTTGTAGAGGGATGGAGATGTCTGCAGTTTTTTAATCCAGATGTGATCTTAGTCTTCTATACTTAATGATTATAGGACTCAGTAGGGTTTGTTAGTTCCATTTTCTGATAAATGGTGGCATACAGCAGCATTTTGTATAACACATCTTATTAAACTTTTTTTCTCTACAGGATGAAAACTCCTCTACTAATCTCTGTGTAGAAAATCTTCAGAAAAATAAAGATTCGAATAGTATAATTAAAGATAGATTGTCTCAAACGGTTAGGCAGAATACTAAATTCTTTTTTGACCCAGTCCGGAAGTGTAATGGTCAACCAGTACCTTTTCAACAACCAAAGCACTTCACGGGAGGAGTGATGCGATGGTACCAAGTAGAAGGCATGGAATGGCTTAGGGTAATGAATTGTAATTTTTAATACAACATATTGGTTTTATTTCTATAGTAGCCTAATAATGTGATGTACCACAAGTGGAGTCATTTCTGTCATGTTTCATTGTTATACATTTGTGTGTGAATACCTACTTTTTGATTTCTTTAACCTGAATTTTTAGACGTGGAAATTACCTTGTTAATGACTTCCAACACTTTTATGGCTTTAATAAAGGATTTTCCACAGTGTTGTTATAATTTATGGTGTGAATATATCAGTTTTAACATAATTCTCATCTTTGGGTGTGATTTTTTTTTTTTAAAGAAAAGAAATGAAATATTGTAACCCTGTAGTTGCTTATATCCGAGTTTAAATACAGTATCTATTATTTCATCCAGATGCTTTGGGAAAACGGAATTAATGGCATTTTAGCAGATGAAATGGGATTGGGTAAGACAGTTCAGTGCATTGCTACTATTGCATTGATGATTCAGAGAGGAGTACCAGGACCTTTTCTTGTCTGTGGCCCTTTGTCTACACTTCCTAACTGGATGGCTGAGTTCAAAAGATTTGCACCAGATGTAAGACATGCTTCCTTATGTTAAAATTATAATTTTACATGTTTTTTTATGCTTCGTTGTTGTAGGAATTAAATTGTAGAACTCCTATAATTATATTGGTTCCTGTATAAATATTTTGTCTGATTTGACTTAATCTGTAGAGTACCCTCATTTAAATTTATATAGTATAGGTTTTGGAAATCCCTGACATCTTTCCTAAAATATTCCAGAATGATTTTCATTGCATTGGTTAATTTGATTCAACTGAGACAGACTTAGGTAGAGATTTTATTAAAAATTCTGCTTATTCTTCACTTGATCTTTGCCAAAAGGCTGAGAAGAGAGGAAGAGAGTTTTCTGTTTTTTGTAACTTTTTTTCTATACACGTTACCTTTTCCTTTTTTTTTTTTTTTTGAGATGGAGTCTCTCTTGCCCAGGCTAGAGGACAGGGAAGCAATCTTGGTTCACTGCAACCTCTCTCTCCCATGTTGAGTCGATTCTTGTGCCTCAGCCACTCGAGTAGCTAGGACTACAAGCATGTGCCACCATACCCAGCTAATTTTATGTTTTTAGTAGAGACGATGTCTTGCTGTGTTGGCCAGGCTGGTCTTGAACTCCTGGCCTGAAGAGATCCACCCACCTTGGCCTCCCAAAGTGCTGGGATTATAGATGTGAGCCACTGTTACCCCCGCACCCAGCCCTCCTGCACATTTTTGCCTTATGAGAAATTCTAGAAGTAGTGTCACCATCTGCCTCATTTTTTATATATATATATATATTATTTATTTATTTATTTTGAAAAGGAGTCTCTCTGTCACCAGGCTGGAGTATAGTAGCTGGGACTACAGGCGCACCCCAGCACACTTTTGTATTTTAGTCGAGACGGGGTTTCACCATGTTGGCCAGGATAGTCTCGATCTCCTGATCTTGTGATCCACCCACCTTGGCCTCCCAAGTGCTGGGATTACGGGCGTGAGCCACCGCGCCCGGCCTATATGTATTTTATATATTTATGGGTTTTTGTTGTTGTGTGTGTGAGAGAGTTTGGCTCTTGTTACCCAGGCTGGAGTGCAATGGCACTATCTTGGCTCACTGCAACCTCTGCCTCCTGGGTTCAAGCGATTCTCCTGTCTCAGCCTCCCAAGTAGCTGGGATTACTGGTGTGCACCACCACGCCCAGCTAATTTTTTATTTTTAGTAGAGACAGGGTTTCTCCATGTTGGTCAGGCTGGTCTGGAACTCCTGACCTTGGGTTATCTGCCTGCCTCAGCTTCCCAAAGTGCTGGGATTACAGGCATGAGCCATCCCGCCCGGCCCTTGTATTTGTTTTTATGACTTTATTATTTTTATTTTTTCTTCAGACAGGATGTTGCTCTGTTGCCCGGGCTGGAGTGCAGTGGCCATTCTGGCTCACTGTGGCCTTCACCTCCTAGTCTCATGTGAGCCTGCTATCTCATACCTGAGTAGCTCATGTGAACCTCCCATCTCACTCCACTGGGTGAGTAGCTAGCACTACAGGTGCGTACCACCACACCCAGCTAATTTTTGTATTTTGTGTAGAGATGGGATTTCTCCATGTTGCTCAGGCTGATCTCGAACTAGTCGCAGACTTTAGAGATCCGCTTGCCTTGGCTTCCCAGAGTGTTGAGATTAGAGGTGTGAGCCATTGTGCTGGGCCTGACTTTTTTTTTTTTTTTTTTCATTTTTCTCCCATAGTAGTTCAATGATTTGTTAGAATTGCTTGGCTTATTTTGCTATAGAAAAATAGAACTGAAATTTTAAATTATATTTTTTCCCTCAGAATGATTTATATTCTCTAAATAGTCAATTTTTACATTTTGTTCTTAAGTTTGATATAAATCAATATAAAATTTTTCAGATCCCTACAATGTTATATCATGGAACCCAGGAGGAACGTCAAAAATTGGTAAGAAATATTTACAAACGGAAAGGGACTCTGCAGATTCATCCTGTGGTAATCACGTCATTTGAAATAGCCATGAGAGACCGAAATGCGTTACAGGTACAAATGATCTTCATTGTTTTCTTTGTAATACACAAAATTCGTTTTTCTTAATTTATACCACTTTCTTACCATCTGGGAGCATTTGTCTAATTTGTTGTTGTTGAAATTATAGATTATATTGTGCATATACCTGTAGAATCTGGAGACTTTTATTAACAGAATGATTGAGATGAAGGCCGTCATTTGTAACAATATAATTAAAGCTTATGGCAGTTTAACATATGGCTTAGAATCATCCAGAAATAGACCTAATCTCTGAATGTATTACAGATATATTTGTGACAGTTAACTTTGAATATACGGAATTTACCTATCGTATTTTAATCAAATAAGAGTATTTGAAGACAAGTTATTTTTAGAGTATCTTATTGGACTATTTGTTAACATTTTCATTTGTTTTCTTGATGTTGTAGCTACTTACTTAAATAATTTCCTGTTAGCATAACACAATTGAAAAATTGTGCCTTCTTCTTTCGTGCCTTCTGTTAATTCATTTATTGATGTTTTGAACTTCTTCCTCAATGCTCTACCTCATTCATTTATAATTCTTGACTGCTTTGTTTTTCCTTTCTCTGGCCGTGTGAGAACCCTCTTAGTGCGGTACCCTTAGGTTTATCTTGCTTGGAAATAGGAAAGTACTTAATGGTTTCAACATAAAATTAAAACACGTAAGTCGTAGGTGGAATAATTGTGACTTGCATAATTATGACGAGTATTGTCAGGTTTTGCGTGTGTGCTGGTAAAACTTTGGAATATGATTTGCAGAAATCTTAGCTCAAGAGTTTAGCAAAGTTGACAAATGTGTACAGCATTAAAAAGTATTTAAACCAGGCCGAGCTTGAAGGCTCATGCCAGTAATTCCAGCACTTTGGGAGGGTGAGGTAGGCAGATCGCTTGAGGCCAGGAGTTCCAGACCAGCCTGGCCAACATGACAAACCCGTGTCTCTACTAAAAATACAGAAATTAGCTGGGTGTGATGGTGCACATCTGTAATGGCACGAGGATTGCTTGAACCCGGGAGGTGGAGGTTGCAGTGAGCTGAGATTGCGCCACTGCACTCCAGCCCGTGCTACAGTGAGAGTCTGTCTCAAAAAAAAAAAAAAAATTCAAACCAGCAGTCTGCAACCATTTGGCACCAGGAACTGGTTTTGTGGAAGACAAGTTTTCCATGGACCATGGGTGGGGGATGGTTTCAGAATGATACAAGTGCATTACAATTATTGTGCACTTTATTTTTATTATTATAAAATTGTAATACATAATGAAATAATAGGGCCGGCCGTAATGGCTCACGCCTATAATCCCAGCACTTTGGGAAGCTTAGGTGGGCAAATCACTTGAGGTGAGGAGTTTGAGACCTTCCTGGCCAACATGGTGAAACCACATCTCTACAAAAATACAAAAATTACATGGGCACAGTGGCCCAGCTCCTTGGGAGGCTGAGGCAGGATAATTGCTTGAACCCAGAAGGCAGATATTGCAGTGAGCGGAGATCACGCCTCTGTACTATAGGCTGGGCAACCGAGTAAGACACTGTCTGAAAATAATAATAATAATTTTATAACTCACCATAATGTAGAATCAGTGGTAGCCCTGAGCTTGTTTTCCATCTAGGGATGATGGGAGACAATGACAAATCATCCAACATTAGATTTTTATAAGGAGCGCACAACCCAGATCCCTTGGATGTGCAGTTCGCAATAGGGTTCATGCTCCTATGAGAATATATTGTCTCCTGATCTGACAGGAGGCGGAGCTCAGGCCATAATGTGAGCAGTAGGGAGTGGCTGTAAATATAAATGAAGCTTCCTTTTGCTGTAAATACGCATAAAGCTTCCCTCCTTCACAGGTGCTTACTTCCTGCTGTGTGGCCTGGTTCCTAACATGCCATGGACCCCTACAGGTCTGTGGCCTGGGGGTTGGGGACCCCTGATATAAACCATTTCTTTACAGTAAAAGTAATATATACCAATTTTTTTAAAGGGTAGTGTACAGGAAGATGTAAAAGCACCTATAATTCTACCTGAGAACTACTATTTTTTTTTTTTTCTTCCTGTTTTTGAGACGGAGTCTTGCTCTGTCGCCCAGGCTGGAGCGCAGTGGTGCGATCTCGGCTCACTGCAAGCTCTGCCTCCCAGGTTCACGCCATTCTCCTGCCTCAGCCTCCCAAGTAGCTGGGACTACAGGCACCTCTGCCACGCCCGGCTGATTTTTTTGTAATTTTAGTAGAGACAGGGTTTCACCGTGTTAGCCAGGATGGTCTCAATCTCCTGCCCTCGTGATCTGCCCACCTCAGCCTCCCAGAGAACTACTTTATACTCAATAATTATAGCTAACACGTAGGTATAATTTACACATATGATCATACTATACATTCATTTTTTTTTTTTTTTGGTCCGAGACAGGGTCTCACTTTGTCACCCAGGCTGGAGTCCTGTGGCACGATCTCAGCTCACTGTACCCTGAACCTCCTGGGCTCAAGTGATTCTTCTACCTCAGTCTCCTGAGTAGCGGGGACTACAGACGTCTGTCACCATACCTGTTTCTTGTATTTTTTTGTAGGGACAGGGTGTCTCAAGCCATCCACCTGCCTAGGCCTCACAAAGTGCTGGGAGTACAGGTGTGAGCCACTGCTTCCGGCCTGCATTCACTTCTGCAATTTGTGTTTTCTACTCAGTAATATAACATGAAGACCCTTCTAATCTGTTTTCCGTACCCGTCCTGTAATGAAATAGTTAAGCTTCCTTGTCCATTTCATTTGCTAGTGGCTAGAAACTTTCGAGTTTTACATTTCAGTGAGCTTATGTTATCATTTCAAAGATCTTAGCTTACTCTGAGTGTGAGGTTCCAGGGCTTTTGTTGCTGAGTGCTAGCGGAAGTGACTGAGTTCACTTGCTAATTTGGCTTTCAGATTGCTCATCATTTGTTTCCTTGTTTTTTTTTTTCCTCTTATCTACCCATTATAAAAGGATATATTTACATATACATTTTTTTTTTTTTTTTTAGAGACGGAGTCTCGCTCTGTTGCCCAGGCTGGAGTGCAGTGGCGCAGTCTTGGCTCACTGTAACCTCTGCCTCCCAGGTTCAAGTGATTCTCCTGTCTCAGCCTCCCAAGTAGCTGGGATTACAGGCACTCACCACCACGCCTGGCTATTTTTTGTATTTTTAGTAGAAACGGGGTTTCACCATGTTGGTCAAGCTGGCCTCGATCTCCTAACCTTCTGATTCCCCTGCCTTGGCTTCCCAAAGTGCTGGGATTACAGGCATGAGCTGCCATGCCCGGCCCAATTTTTTTTTTTTTTTTTTTTTTTGTTTGAGACAGTCTCACTCTGTCACCCAGGCTGGAGTGCAGTGGCAGGATCTTGGCTCACTGCAGCCTCCGTCTCCCTGGCTCAAGCAGTTCTCCTCCCTCAGCCTCCTGAGTAGCTGGGATTACAGGCATGTGCCACCTCGTCCGGCTAATTTTTGTATTTATAGTAGAAATGGGGTTTAACCAAGTTGGCCAGGCTGGTCTCAAACTCCTGACCTCTGGTAATCTGTCTGCTTCGGCCTCCCAAAGTGCTGGGATTGCAGGCCTGAGCCACTGCGCCCGGCAAAGGATATTTTATATTTTTATCTGGCATTTTTAGATAGCTGTCTTACAGTGAGAGATAATTCAGGTTTTCTGGTTTTACCATATTGCCAGGAAAATAAATCTCTTCCTAGTTATTTTAATAAAGAAGACACAATACTATAAACTTTTTTGATTCTTTTGGGATATATAAAGCAAAATGCAAAACGTTCTCTATACTCTTTCCTCAATTTGTCAGTCCCATTTTTTAAGGATACCTATATTTTGCAGATTGTTATTTATATTTCCAGAAATACTTTGTATTTCTGTATGTTAATATAAATTAGATTAATTATAAATTTTCCTGATAAAGATATGTGAGAAATCACAGATATTAAAATGAGAAAGTTAAAACATTTTCATGATAACTTTGTGAAAGTGAATGGGTGACTTTCTGTGAAAATATAAACTGCTTAAATAAAGAAGGGAAAATTCTAGTGCTATTTGATGTTTCAGTGCGTATGGAACTAATAAAAACTCAATTTTTAGTAGTCTAGCATAACATAAATATGAAAACTTGGGAAAATATTAGAAAAGAAAGCTACAACTGCGTTGACTAAGGTCTGAATAGGGAAATCTTAAATTCAAAATAGGTGGAGTTCAAGCTTTATTGCGTATTTTAGTAGATAACTTCCAGGAACTGAAATATCGATCAATTTTAGGAATCCTTGTAAGTGGAGCAAATGAAAACATGATCATCTCAGTAGTTACTGAAATTACATTTGATAAAATTCAACATCCATCCCTCATAATAGATGTTTTATTTTTAGAATTCTTGTTAGAAAAATTGTGAGATCATTGTTTAAATATCTTTTTCCTCAATTCATTTTCTAGCATTGCTATTGGAAATACTTAATAGTAGATGAAGGACACAGGATTAAGAATATGAAGTGCCGTCTAATCAGGGAGTTAAAACGATTCAATGCTGATAACAAACTTCTTTTGACTGGTACTCCCTTGCAAAACAATTTATCAGAACTTTGGTCATTGCTAAACTTTTTGTTGCCAGATGTATTTGATGACTTGAAAAGGTGGGTAAGCCAGTTATTTAATGATTTAACCTCAAAAATCTGTGCTGTTAGATAAAATTACTTTCTTTTCAGTAACTGAATTAAAATGCCAAATATTTGGCAAGTTCTTTTTGGTGTATATTGTATGTTCTACTCCTGTCACAAATTATGTGAGAGCAGATTAAGAAAAGATTATTTAAAACTTACTTGCGTTGGTTAAAGGAAGACTGCTGAATGCTACTTTAAGATAATATTTTTATAATAAGGTTCTTTTATGTGTTACCTCTGTAAAACATTTTAAGATGGATTTTTCTCATTATATCCTCATGAAACAACCAGGGACAATAGAGTTGTTAAATTATTCCCTATCTCATATAAAAGAAAACCTAGGTGTAGAGTTGTTACAAGGTAAGACTAGTTAGCACCAGAGCCAAAGTTAAAACTGAGGTCTCCCAATGTAAACATAGTGTTTTAATTCTCGAAACTATGTTTGAATCTTAGCTTATATAATAAAATCAGAAATAAAAGTAGTTTTCAGAAAGTAATTAGTAACTTCAGAATGGAGGAGGAGGTAATGTTAACATAATCTAAAACTGATTACAACGGAAATACAACCTGGACAAAAAAGGTAATTTATACTTGTTTTGGCATCAGTGAAGGAAGTAAGCTAATTGGATGTGGAAATATAATTTTAAATTTTGGGAATTTATTTCAAATCTGGTTACTGAATGGTGTCTCAAGGTAGGCTACCTTATTGTGACTCTGGGCGCTATTATTGAAAGACAAGAATTCCAGGTACTATGCAGACATACTGAATTACAGTGTCAAGATAGGAGTTGAGAATCTGAGTTTTTTGAACATCCTTCTGGTGATCCAAGTTTGGGAACTTCTAGTCTACTGCATAAATGTTACTAGCATTTTCCACAGTTGGATGTAATGTTACCTATTATATATTATTAATCTGCATGCTCATACTTAATTGCTCATTGTGATATATATATATATTTAACAGTGGGAAGGAATAAGCGTGTATAATATTGTCAAGTTATGTATATGTTGAATTTTAAAATATTGTAGTGGGCCATACTTAAGACTGGTGGAGAAAATCGTATGACTTTGGTTTTCAGAGATAGTTCTCACTTTTGTAAAGTAAAATTATAAATATATACCTTAATCTTATTTGGTTTTTATACTACTGTACGGTTGTTAATCTATTTATAAATCAGAAAAGTGTTCCCTTTAGGCTCACAGTTCTTGATGGTTCAGAAATCCAATCAATTTATCTTTGTTGTTTGAATGTGTTCTTTTCCATTATAATTTTTAAAAATTGCACCTAAGGATTTGGTGCAACAATACTATGTTTCAGTATCACAGATTATTACTGTAAATAGTCATGTATCATGTTGACATAACTGAATTTATGTGGTTAACTTAAACATTTTTCTCTTCCAGCTTTGAGTCTTGGTTTGACATCACTAGTCTTTCTGAAACTGCTGAAGATATTATTGCTAAAGAAAGAGAGCAGAATGTATTGCATATGCTGCACCAGGTTTTCTATGTTTTCTTATTCTGCTTAACCATAGGCTCAATAGAGTATAAAAGGAACTCTGGAGATCACCTGTCTAATCCTTTGTAGTGGAGATTTGAAAAATGAAGGTCCTCCTACATTTAAATGACTCCTTTGTTTTTTCTTCTCTTGAGTTTTATGACAGAACTCAAGTGCTTACCTAAGTTTTGTCCTTTTCAGATAGTATGCTCATTTTACCCCAATGGTAACGGAGAATTTTGTCAAGCACAAAACAGAAATTTGTGGTTTTTATGGAATGGTTTTTATGGAATGCTTGCCAATAATCCTTTTGTAATTTACATCCTTGCATGACTGCTGTCTCATCTATTTTTATTGCTTTCTGTAATCCCTACCCCATCCTACCTATCTTTAATTTACAGAAACATTATCTTTCAAAGGTAATCTAGTCACATGAGCCTGAAAAGCTTCTCAGTTGTGGTGTAGCAATTTTATTCGAAGTCTTTATCATTTTTTCTGATATTAAAGTTTATACATGTTCATGAGAAAAATGTGAAGCAGGAGAGAACTGAAAAGTAAAAATATCACTTCCTCTTAAAATTGTACTTCCTAGCAGTGTATGTGGAATGATTGTGTTGTGTTATATGACAGTCCAGACTCTTTTCTGTCTTTGTGTAAACATGTGTGTTTTCTCTATATTTTATGAAGAAAAAGATTGTAAAAATAAAATTATTCCTTAAGATAGTCTTTTAAACAGTTACCAGAAGATTATTTTCCTTTTACTACATGTAGATTTAAATCAGTGGTTTTTAATAACTGCTTATTATCCCATTTTCCTGTTCTACTATAATTAATTATACCTGTGTCTTCCTCTTCAAAATTTTCTACAATATAAACAAGGTTGTAGTATCTCTACTTAACACTACACCTTTGCCCATTACTGGCTATTTCCTTAGGAAAGAATTCCTAGAATGTATGTGTTAGAATTTACAGATGATGGCTTCTTTGAAGGCAAATTGCCCTCCAGAAAAGATTTATATGACATACGTCCATATGAAAATACTTATTTACTCAAGCTTCATACCAATTTTGAGGTTAGAAGTCCTTTACAGTGTGTTGCAGAGATTAAAAAGGATGATTATTGCTGAATTGAGATGTTTATAGATAGTTCCTTGTGACCGTATTCCAACATATGTTGGAATATTTATTTCTTAATGGTTTATAATAACTATGTTAAAATAAGTTAATGGTCTGTATGTTGTGAAGAATTTCTTTCCCCTCCTCACTTTTTGGGATAAACTTTGTTTATGGTGTCTTTTTGTGTGTTCATGTGCACAAGTGTGTGTGTTTATATTTAAAATTTTCTTTTTTTCCTGCTGTGACTAGCCAATGATCGAAATTTCAATGTGCCAATAGTTATAGAAGTTTTTAAATGTCCCAGTATGAATTATTGGGGTAAATGACTTATTTAGGAAGAGATGTGTTTCGACATCACATCCTCATCAGTAGTTAAATCCATATAGTGTAGCAAAGGATTAAGTTTCTCTTCTTAGGAAATTTAATTAGAGAGTCAAGACAATGAATATTTATAGAATTGGTCACTTACAGGTTACCTCACAGAGTATACAGGTAGATAGATATTCCTGAGAAATGATAATCTGCCTTTTGATTGAACATTTGTAGTGCTTGTCGTAGTTGATAATTCACTGGCATTATCCAGTGAATAATTGGAATTGAAGATAACTTCAAATTTCCATTAATATTAAGATATGATAATGGACTTTTATTATAAATCTATCCAAATTCAACAGTTTATCAAAAATAGGGGCAGTTTTTGAATGTTCTAGCAATAAGAATATTCTGTGCAGTACTGTGCTTAAATTTGAGTTTATATTACTTTTATGCTTTGTCCTAATTATGTTTTAATGCATTACTGGAGGAAAAAGCTTTCGTTCAAAATGAATTCAGATTAGTTGGAGATAGTTTTAAATCGCTAGTATATTTTCTTAACTATTTTCTATATGCAGGAATTCTTTCCTTTTTTTAATGCAATGTTTGCATAGAGACGGGGTTTCACCATGTTAGCCAGAATGGTCTCCATCTCCTGACCTCGTGATCCGCCTGCCTCGGCCTCCCAAAGTGCTGGGATTACAGGCCTGAGCCACCGCGCCTGGCCGGAAGTGTTTTAACATGTTTATGAAACATTTACATATTTTTCCTGATTTGCCTGTGGGCATATTTGGTTTTGGATTGATGTCTGTAGATACCAACACTGGTAATGTGTTTACTGTCTCTGTCAATAGTCTGGTAATAGTTTGCATAAACATTGCATAGTAAAAAAATTTTTTTTTTACTTTCCATTTAAAGTTATCTAAGCTTGCTACTTTTCTATTTCCGCCCCATATGGAAGGCCAAAAGCAGTATAACTTTTACAAATTATGTATTTAAAATTTTTTATTTTAAAATTGTGTGTACACAGTAAGATATTTTTAAATATTATGAAAATTTAGAAAATAAAAAGTAAAAAGCAAAACTTTCTGTTTTCCTTCTGCACTTACTTTCTTATCTCCAAAGTATAACTAATAGATTTTTTTTTTTTTTTTTGGAGACAGAGTTTCACTCTGTGCCCAGGCCTGGAGTGCAGTGGCGCGATGTTGGCTCACTGCAACCTCTGCCTCCCAGGTTCAAGCTATTTTTCCTGCCTCACCCTCCTGAGTAGCTGGGATTACAGGCGTGTGCCACCACACCTGGCTAATTTTTTTGTATTTTTACTGGAGACGAGGTTTCATCATGTTGGCCAGGCTGGTCTCAAACTCCTGACCTCAAGTGATCTGCCCGCCTCAGCCTCCCAAAGTTCTGGGATTACAGGTGTGAGCCACCGCACCCGGCCAACAGATTTTTTGTTTGTTTGTTTTTGGGAGACTCTGACAGGCAGGAGAGTAGTGGTGCCATCGTTGGTCATTAGGTTGGTATCTGCAGCCTCCGACTCGTACTCCTGTGTTCAAGTGATCCTCCTGCCTCACCCTCCTGAGTTGCTGGAACCAAAGGTGCATGCCACCAGGTCCAGCTAATTTTTGGTCGATGGGTCTTGTATAACTCTTACTTGTTTCTGTCTGCTTAGAAAGCTTGTGTACTAGGAAAAACATATATAAATACTTTTTTTATACATGTGTTTCAGCGGTATGGTGTGCCCCTTCTTCTACATATTTGCCATTTCAGTTAACATCAAACTATAATATTTGTCAGTGGATGTGGTAGAAAAATATCTTGTTATTTCATGTTTTTCTTAAAGACATGGACATGTTTTATTTTTTTTATTTTTCTGAGACAGAGTCTCGCTTCGTTGCCCATGCTGGAGTATAGTGGTGTGATCTCAGCTCACTGCAAGCTCCGCCTCCCGAGTTCACGCCGTTCTCCTGCCTCAGCCTCCCAAGTAGCTGGGACTACAGGCGCCCGCCACTACGCCTGGTTGATTTTTTCTATTTTTTAGTAGGAGACGGGGTTTCACTGTGTTAGCCAGGATGGTCTCCATCTCCTGACCTCGTGATCCGTCCGCCTAGGCCTCCCAAAGTGCTGGGATTACAGGCGTGAGCCACTGCGCCTGGCCGGACATGTTTGTGGGCATATTTATAAAACATTTACATATTTTTCCTGATTTGCCTGTGGACATATTTGTTTTTGGATTGGTATCTGTAGTTACCAACACTGGTGATGTGTTTACTATCTCTGGTAATAGTCTATGATTAGCCCTATACCTGTTGGGTATTTAAATCCAGAGTCCTGAAAATGAGCTTTATTATATATGATTACTATATGTAAACCATTGTTAGTATTTAAAGGTAGGAGTATAAAGAGTATACAATTTTTTATTTTTTATTATTATTACTTTTTTTGAGTCGAAGTCTCTGTCGCCCAGGCTAGAGTGCAGTGCCACGATCTTGGTTCACTGCAACCTCCATCTCCCAAGTTCAAGCCATTCTCCTGCCTCAGCCTCCGAGTAGCTGGGATTCTGTAATCCCCCCACCACACCTGACTAAAGTTTTTGTATTTTTTTTAGTAGAGACCGGATTTCACCATGTTGGCCAGGCTAGTCTCAAACTTCTGACCTCAGGTGATCTGCCCACCTCTGCCTCCTAAACTGCTGGGATTACAGGTGTGAGCTACCGCGGCTGACCTAGAGTATACAATGATTTCAAACAAGTGTTTGTTCTCTTTTAATGACCCAAATATTTTAATAATGGCATAATTGTCTGTTGCTTCTGTGTTCTTTTTATAAATGTGATAATCATTTGTAACCACCTCAGCTAATGAAAGAATAATTTTAAACCTGAAACTTTAGAACTTACAGAAGAAACTTGTATGTCTGCATCACTAGGTCAGCTGGCTTTTTACTGAGTCTAAAACCTCATTCTATTAAAAAATTTTTTTTTAAAGCTTTTAGTTTTTTGGGTACATGGTAGGTGTATATATTTATGAGCTATATGTTTTGATATTGATACAGAAATGTAATGCATGATAATCATATCATGGAGAATGGGGTATCCATCCCCTCAAGCATTTATTATCCTTTTTTAATTTTAATTTTAATTATCCTGGATTAGTGATCCAGTTACACATGATCCAGCTATATATCTTTTTTTTTTTTTTTTGTGGAGACAGAGTCTTGCTCTGTCACCCAGGCTGGAGTGCAGTGGCACATTCTCTGGCTCACTGCAACCTCTGCCTCCCGGGTTCAAACAATTCTCCTGCCTCAGCGTCTTGAGTAGCTGGGATTATAGGCACCCACCAGCAAGCCCAGCTAATTTTTGTATTTTTAGTGGAGATGGGGTTTTACCATGTTCACCAGGCTGATCTCAAACTCCTGACCTAGGTGATTCTCCTGCCTCAGCCTCCCAAAGTGCTGGGATTACAAGCGTAAGTCACTGCACCTGGCCTCCAGTTATACTCTTCCTTATATTTTAAAATGTAACAGTTAAATTACTGTTGACTGTAGTCACCCTTTTGTGCTACGAAATACTAGGTCTTATTATTTCTATTTTTTGTACTCATTATTTAAAAAAATTTTTTTAAATTTTTATTCATTTTTATTGTTTCCCCTTTTGTATGGTGCTGATAAAATCTAATTTTAAAAGTTGTGGGCTATAACTGAAACTTTAACCCTAAGAAATACAAATGCTACCTTTATATTTTTACTTTTGAAATTATTTGAGATAGATTCTTAACAGTTTTTAAGAGAAAAGTAAATTCTGAAATGCTGCTGACAAATACTGTGAGTTTACCATTTGGTCTGGTCTGGGAAAATCTCAAGAAGATATTTTCACCTTTTGAGATTTGATATTGCTTATATAGGAAGTCAAAAGATAAGGTAAAGGAGTATATGGGGACAGTATTCCTTGAAAAAATAAGAATGTTTAATACTCATATTTTTCTGTTCATGTTTTAATTTTAGATTTTAACACCTTTCTTATTGAGAAGACTGAAGTCTGATGTTGCTCTTGAAGTTCCTCCTAAACGAGAAGTAGTTGTTTATGCTCCACTTTCAAAGAAGCAGGAGATCTTTTATACAGCCATTGTGAACCGTACAATTGCAAACATGTTTGGATCCAGTGAGGTATAGTGGTTTTGAAATGTAAAGGAAACTTGACATAAAATTTCTCTTTTTTCCCCTTTTTTTTTTGAGACAAGATGTTGCTTTGTCACCCAGGCTGGAGTGCAGTGGCACAATCGCTGCTCACTGCAGCCTTTACCTACCTGGCTAATTTTTTTGTAGAAACTGGCTTTTTGCCATGTTTCCCAGGTTGGTCTCAGACTCCTGGGCTTAAGCAGTCCGCCCACCTTGGCCTTCCAGAGTGCTGGGGTTACTGGTGTTAGCAATTGCGCCTGGCCTAAATTCCAGTTTTAATGGCCCCTTGTTTATTTTCAGGACGTGGGTGAATTTGTATCTGGGGTATAAGGCATAAGGCCAAGTGGCAAAAGTTGTTTCCTAGTATCTGCAGTCCTGCTAAAATGTAAGTGATAATCCTTGTATTAATTACTTTGCAGTCATCTGGAATACTTATTAAAAATTTAGGCCTGGCACAGTGGCTCCTCATGCCTGTAATCCCAGCACTTTGGGAGGCCGATGCGGGCAGATCACCTGAGGTTGGGAGTTTGAGACCAGCCTGACCAACATGGAGAAACCCTGTCTCTGCTAAAAACACAAAATTAGCTGGGCGTGGTGGCACATACCTGTAATCCCAGCTACTCAGGAAGGCAGAGGCAGGACAATCGCTTGAACCCGGGAGGTGGAGGTTGGAGGTGGAGGTTGCGGTGAACCGAGATTGCGCCATTGTACTCCAGCCTGGGCAAGAAGAGCGAAAATCCGTCTCAAAAAAAATAAATAAAATAAAATAAAAATTTAGATTTCCGTGCAGATTAACTCTAAACGCTTTCTGGGGTTGAGCTTGGAAATTCATTTTTAACAAGCACACAGTTATTTGAGAATCCCTGTTCTAAGGACTTGGCAACTAGACTAATCTCCAAATATACAGCATCCAAAATCTGTATATTTGCTCCAAAATTTGAAACTTTGTGAGTGCTGATACGACACTCAAAGGAAATGCTTACTGGAGCATTTCTGTTTTCCCGTTAGGGATGTTCAACCTGTACAGTTTCCTTGCTGAAGGTTGTTGAGAACCAAAAGGATTAATAATCACTTTGATGATTATTATCACCCACCATATTATAGGAGACAGAGGTAGGGTGTTATTATCATTTAACTCAAGGAGACCCTTAAGTTTGTTTAACTGTCCAGATTTTTTATTGTCCACTATGGACCTATAGATTTTCTTTTCAAAATATTTATTGTCATGCATTTTTAAACAATAGAACCACCAGACTCTCTTCTCCCTCTTTTTTTTTTTTCCTTTGAGACAGAGTCTTGCTCTGTTGCCCAGGCTGGAGTGTAGTGGCATGATCTTGGCTCACTGCAAGCTCCGCCTCCTGGGTTCACGCCATTCTCTTGCCTCAGCCTCCCAAGTAGCTGGGACTACAGGCACCCGCCACCATGGCTGGCTATGTTTTTCTGTTTTTTTAGTAGAGATGGGATTTCACCTTGTTAGCCAGGATGGTCTCGATCTCCTGACCCAGGTGATTCACCCGCGTTGGCCTCCCAAAGTGCTGGGATTACAGGCGTGAGCCCGGCCTCTTCTCTCTTTTTAATAATTAATTATAATTAAAGGAAAGGTCTAGCTATTTACAAATTTACATTATTTGTCTGTTAATGAGCAATTTCATGCAGTGTTAACCAGTCTGAAGAAATATCCTCTGTAGTGCAAATTTCTGGAGCCGTATTTCATCTTTAAGGTATTGAATCCTTTTGTGTAAGTTCAAAGTAGTTTTATTCGCCCTTCATTTTTCCCTATTGAGATACGAAGGCCCTTCCTCTTACTTTCAGATGTTCTCGTCCATGTTAAAATTAAACTAATTTCCTACAACATTTGTATTTGTCTATAGATTGTCATTGTGTACATAAAGTATGCCTTATTTTGTTTACATTTAGAACCTAAGGATATAGCTTTGTAAACTGGCTTTCCTTTAATTCATTCCCTTTTAGAAAGAAACAGTTGAGTTAAGCCCTACTGGTCGACCAAAACGACGAACTAGAAAATCAATAAATTACAGCAAAATAGATGATTTCCCTAATGAATTGGAAAAATTGATCAGTCAGATACAGCCAGAGGTGGACCGAGAAAGGTTTGAATTTGAAAATGAATTTAAGTATTCTTTAAACTGGGACCATTTTTTGTGTTTCTCATGTGTATGCATTATTTGTTTTGGTAGAACTGTTGTGGAAGTGAATATCCCTGTAGAATCTGAAGTTAATCTGAAGCTGCAGAATATAATGATGCTACTTCGTAAATGTTGCAATCATCCATATTTGATTGAGTATCCTATAGACCCTGTTACACAAGAGTTTAAGGTGAATACTATTTAATTGTAATTCACTGTTTTGATTTATATTACTTTTATATTGGTGGAAGATGTTACTTTGTTTTGATTATAATTATTACAAATAAGTATGGTGCTATTTGTCATTAAGATTGTAATCCTTCAGTAAGCTAAGACAATCTTCTCTCCGAAATTTCAGAGAACCTTTGCAGGGTTAGAGAAATGGTCACTTTCTATGAGCAACTAGTTTTTTTTATTTTTTTATTTTTTATAGAGACAGGGTCTTGCTGTGTTTCTCAGTCTGGTCTCAAACTCCTGATTTCTCAGGCAATCCTGCCTCAGTCTCCCAGAGTGCTAGGATTACAGGCAAGAACCACCATGCCTGGCCTCTATGCAACTAATATTTTTATTTACATGTTTTATGTGAACAGCTAATAATTCTAAATTTAGTAATTGATTTGTACTCTGCATATTTACTTGCTATATTTTAGAGAGAGTGGTCATCTTTTCACTGTTTCATTTATTATTAATATGTGGCTTATCAAAATCAGCCTGGTTGCTCATTACTTAAAGATCAACAGATAGCCATAGAATAAAACTAATTTTTATTTGGAGGTTTTCACATTAAATAAATGAAGTTGCTTTCTTCGGTAGTTGATAGAAAGATAGCATAATATTAATAGAAATAAATTCTTAGTAACCCTCAATAACCCTTGTTTTGAAGTAGTTTACAATAGACTTTTCCACTTCTGGCAATATTGACATTTTGGGCCAGATAATTCTTTCTTAGGAGGTAATGTTCTGTGCACTTAGGACATTTAGCAGCATCCCTGTCTTCTACTCGTTAGATGCCAATAATATTCACTTTCCTCAGTTATGACAACTAAAAAGTTTGCTGCCACCACCAAATATACCCTGGAGATAGGTGGAGGGCAAAATTGTCCCCATTTGAGAGGTGCACTGCTTTACATCTTTATTAGAGTAAGAAAGAAGACAAAACTTTCCCACTCAGATGGAAGTAGCTCTCTCATGAAGTCATTTCACCAGAAGGTGAAAGAGTCTTTATCCACAGTATTTGGATTACTTATCAGCTCCTGTATTTTCTCTAATTTCTGGTAAGAATTCTAGCAGTAGTTTACCTATACATTTAGTTGGAAATAATTCAATTATAAAGAATAAGCCTGAGTATGTACCCATTAAGTTTGACATAATTGTTCTCTTTCACAACGTCTTGGAGGGAGGAGTGTTGAGGTTAGATCAAAGTTATATTTGTATTTATTTTGTTTTTGTGAAGTTGCTGGTTTTACGTTCTAGAGTACGTCTTTGAGTAATAACTATCTTCTGATTTACAAAGATTGAATAACAGGTCAGTTTTTAAGTTTTTTAAGTGACTTGGCATTGAAAATTGAACTTTCCAAATGGCTTTTGTTTTAACAAAGCAAATGACATTTTTCTTTCAATTTTTTTCTCTCTTTGCCCATTTTTAAGATCGATGAAGAATTGGTAACAAATTCTGGGAAATTCTTAATTTTGGATCGAATGCTACCAGAACTAAAAAAAAGAGGTCACAAGGTGATACTTTTGATTGGAATTTTGGATTGTTCAATTATTTTTTTATTAATTGTTATAAATATTAAGATGTTTTATTTCAGGTACTGCTTTTTTCACAAATGACAAGCATGTTGGACATTTTGATGGATTACTGCCATCTCAGAGATTTCAACTTCAGCAGGCTTGATGGGTCCATGTCTTACTCAGAGAGAGAAAAAAACGTAAGACTACTTATGTCATATATCCCAAACGATTCTTTTATAATTCCTATCTTGATTTCTGAAGTAATATTCTAAATAGACCCACAAATTGATAAAAAGATACAAATGACCAGAAACCCTGTGGTTTTATCAAAAACAAACATTTTGATTTAGTACTAAGAAGTCTTAATTTTTGATTCAAGTATATATATCTTCTGGCACAATCTTAATAATATCCTACTTAACCATCACTGTAAGAATATTGGGATAGTAGGAAATTTTTTGTCTTTTTGCCCTGTTCTTAACTTTCTCTTGTGAAAATATCAACTGTATGGCAAAGCTGAAAAGAAAAAAAGCAACTGTACATCCGCCTACAATCTGCTGCTAACATTTGACTATACCTTTTTAAAAACACGTTTCCTGTAATAGCAGCGTTGCTGTATCCATTCAACATTTAATCCTGTTTTTTTTGGTGCATTTTAAAATAAATTATAGATGATACTACCCTTTTCCGTAATGACTTCAGCATATTTTATCTTTTGGGGTAAAATTTACATATACTGAAGCAAATAATGTATACATTTGCTGAATCTTTCTGACAAATGGCGTATGTAAATTTATACCTAATCCCTATTAAGATATAGATGTTACCATGAGCCTAGAAAGTTTCCTGTGCCCCCTTCTAGTCACTTCACCCTCCCAGTCACCCCATGTGTAAAGACAACAACTACAATTTTTTCATCATTTTTTGATACTAGCTTTTCTTAAACATTGTTGTGATACATGGTTTTTAACAAAATTAAGGTCTCTTTAATATAGGTGCTTGGATGATAAAAGGTAACAGCACAGATTTTGTTAACATAATTGTTTTATAGATCTGAATGATTTGTTTGTCCTCCTTTAACTCTTTAATAGTTGTAACAAAACATTTTTCTCCTTCAGTCTTGTTGGTAGATTTCTTTTAATCTGTTGTATTTACATCCTTTTTGCTTTTAGATGCACAGCTTCAACATGGATCCAGAGGTATTTATCTTCTTAGTGAGTACACGAGCTGGTGGCCTGGGCATTAATCTGACTGCAGCAGATACAGTTATCATTTATGATAGTGATTGGGTAAGTTGGATGTACGAAAAGGAATATGCTGATTATATTTTCATTTAGATTTTTTTTTTTTTTGAAATGGAGTCTCACTCTGTCGCCCAGGCTGGAGTACAGTGGCATGATCTCGGCTCACTGCGACCTTCACCTCCGGGGTTCAAGTGATTCTCTTTCCTCAGCCTCCCAAGTAGCTGGGACTACAGGTGTACACCCCCATGCCTGGCTACTTTTTGTGTTTTTAGTAGAGACAGAGTTTCGCCATGTTGGCCAGACTTGTCTCGAGTCCTTATCTCAGGTGATCCGCCCACCTCGGCCTCCCAAAGTGCTGGCATTATAGGCTTGAGCCATCACGCCCAGCCTGCATTCTGAATTTTTAAAAGTTTTTTGAGATGGAATTTCGTTCTTCTTGTCCAGGCTGGAGTGCAATGGCGCAGACTCGGCTCACTGCCTGCGCCTCCTGGGTTCAAGTGATTCTCCTGCCTCAGCCTCCCAAGTAGTTGGGATAACAAGTTCCCGCCACCATGCCCAGCTAATTTTTGTATTAGAGATGGGGTTTCACCGTGTTGGCCAGGCGGTCCCGAACTGACGTCAGGTGATCCACCCTCCTCAGCCTCCCAAAGTGCTGGGATTACCAGCATTACCAGCATGAGCCACCGCGCCCAGCCATTCTGAATTTTTAATTTTTAATTGTACATGTTACAAATTTACTTATCTATTTTGAAAAGATACCCATTTTCAGCTAAGAGTTATTTCTTCATAAAGTTTTCTGCATGTAAAAATTGAATTTTTTTTTTTTACTTTTGTTTTTAGAGACAGGATCTCACTTTTATCACCCAGGCTTCAGTGCAGTGACACCATCACGGTTCAGTAGCCTTGACCTTTTGGGTTCAAGTGATCCTCCCACATCATCCTCTTGAGTAGCTGGGTTTATGAGTATGTGCTACCATGCCCACAAAAAATGTAAAAATTAGTGAGACCACGCCTCACTGTTTTGCCCAGGCTGGTCTTGAGCTTTTATCCTCACATGATTCTCCTGCCTTGGCCTCCCAAAATGCTGAGATTACAGAAGTGAGTCATTGTGCCCAGCCTGAAATGTTTTCTTTGGGGTATATAAACTTTTTTGTTAATATTGCCAAGGATCCGTGGAATGATAATTTTATCTATGAAGCCACTCTGGAAGTTTAAATTAAGACACCACTATTTAAAAGTTCGTGACTACATTATTCATGTTGAGTTTATCCACATGAGTTTACGTTAATTTTAAGCTAATACCGTTAAATGTTATTTTTCTTTTTAACTTTAAGAACCCCCAGTCGGATCTTCAGGCCCAGGATAGATGCCATAGAATTGGTCAGACAAAGCCAGTTGTTGTTTATCGCCTGGTTACAGCAAATACTGTTGATCAGAAAATTGTGGAAAGAGCAGCTGCTAAAAGGAAACTGGAAAAGCTGATCATCCATAAAAGTAAATAACACTTACGTAGTGCTTTATTGTTTAAATTGTACATTATGTGTTGTGGATTTTTGTAATTGTTTTTATTTTCTTTATGAAATGTTATAGCCTGGGCTGGGTGCTGTGTCTCACACCTATAATCCCAGCACTTTGGGATGCCGAGGTGGGTGGATCACGAGGTCCGTTTAAGACACCGTTTAACTTTTTTACCCAGGTTGTTCTTGAACACCTGGACTCAAGTGATCATCCTGCCTCAGCCTCTCCAAGTGTTGGGGTTATAGATGTGAGCCACTGTGCTCAGCCTTATTGTCAGTTTTTTAGTAGATTAATTTTGTAGAAAATTTTGAAGGGATTTTTTTAATGCTGACATTTTTCAGTGGAGTTATTACATATATAAAGCAAAATGCACAGATATTAAATGTACAGGTTAATGAAGTTAGACCAGATGTACGTACTCATACGTAACTATCATCCAGATCAGGGTAGCATTTTCATCATCCAAGAAATTTTCTTTGTTCACCCTTTCCTGTAATTCCTATGCTCCGCTTAACATCACTAGGAAGCAACCAGTATTCTGATTTTTTTCACATTGTTGAGTCTTTTCTTTGTTTAGCTGTTTCATTGAATATATTTTTTCAGAGTCATCTGTGTTGTTTTTAGTAGAATTTTTTTTTAAATTGGTGAATAGTTAGTTTTTTCCATTCCCTTGTTGGTTGACATTTAAATTATTTCTAGATTCTGGTTATTATGAATAAGCTGGTCCTGTACAAGTCTTTGTGGACATATGCATTTTTTGGTCCTTCATCTTAGGGAGGGTGCGTGTTTAACTACTGGAAACTACCAACCTTTTCCAAAGTGGACGTACCATTTTCCACTCCTACCAGCAAAGCCTGAGAGTTTTATTTGCTTTTATTCTTTATCAACACTTGTTTTTTGCCATCCTTCTTAATGCAAGCCATTGTGATTGGTTTGTAATATGTTGTGTTGTAGTTTTAAAAGGAATTTTAATATTTTTAATTTCTCATTTTTTTTAGATCATTTCAAAGGTGGTCAGTCTGGATTAAATCTGTCTAAGAATTTCTTAGATCCTAAGGAATTAATGGAATTATTAAAATCTAGAGATTATGAAAGGTGAGTTTTTAATTTTAGAAAGATTTAATTTGTAGCTTTGAATTATTCACATATACTTGAATATTTTGTTTTCCATAGGGAAATAAAAGGATCAAGAGAGAAGGTCATTAGTGATAAAGATCTAGAGTTGTTGTTAGATCGAAGTGATCTTATTGGTAAGTATCATGCTTTTTCTTAATGGAAGCTTCGAAACATATACATAATTAGCATAATATAATGAACCCCTTTTATAATTCATTCAGCCACACATATCTAATCTTGTTTTATTGTCATTTTGCTTCTCAGAGTATTAAAATCAAATCTCAGACATAATGACATTTTGCCCATAAATGTCATTGTCTTTAACTTTTTCCGTAATTCAGATATTTTCTGTAAACTGGTAAATAACACTTTTGTAAATATATTCAAGTTCCTGTCTTAGTTAAGAATACCAGTGCTTTGTTTTCGTATTTTTCATCATACCAGGAGGCACATCATGTCTGGGTTTCTTATTTCCAGTGAGCTAAGATTAATCAAGATAATATTACAAAATGTCTTGTCAGCCTTCATCCTTTATTTAATATGATGGTTTAGTTTAGTTTAGTTTAGTTCAGTTCAGTTCAGTTTATTTTTGGAGACGGAGTCTCACTCTGTCGCCCAGGCTGGAGTGCACTGACACAATCTCAGCTCACTGCAACCTCAGCCTCCTGGGTTCTAGCAATTCTCCTGCCTCAGCCTCCCCAGTAGCTAGTATTACAGTCGCCTACCAGCACGCCTGGCTAATTTTTGTATTTTTAGTAGAGACAGGGTTTCGCCATGTTGACCAGGCTGGTCTTGAACTCCTGACCTCAGGTGATCTGTCCACCTCAACCTCCCAAAGCACTGGGATTACAGGCGTGAGCCACTGCGCCTAGCCTAACATGATTTTTAGTATCCTTTAAAAATGGTTGGTTAGAACCATTATTAACTAAATCATTACAAAGTGATGATTTTCTTGTTCTGTTATTCTTTTATTAGCTGGGTTATTTAAGAACTTTCCCTTACAGTTTTCCTGAGATAGAAGAGAGGCAGGATATATTGCTTCTTTTTTTCATCAGTTTTTAGAATACCACCTTATGATCTGACACCTACAGTGATGACCATGGATTATTTTGAAAACAAAACATTTTCTTATTCTCTGTGGCCTTTCTCTTCACTTTCTTGCTTTGATATCTTCTGAAGAGCAAAATTTTTATATTTTGATGAATTCCAGTTTTAACGAATTTTTTCTGTCACTCATGATTTTTGTGTCGTGTCTAATTACTCTTTTCTTAATTCAAGGTGTTGATATTTTCTTTTAACAGTTTTATAGTTTTTGCTCTTACATTTAGGTCTATGATCTATTTTCAGTGAATTTTCATCTTTTTGCATGTCAATATCCATTTGTTAGAAGTTGTTCCTTTTTTTGTTGGATTGCCTTGTCATCCTTGATGAAAATCATTTGATCATAAATACAAGGTTTTACTTCTGTATTCTCAATTCTGTTCCATTGAGCTCTGTGGTATTCCTATGCTGGTATTGCACTGATTTAATTAAGGTAGCTTTATGGGAAGTGTACTTTCTCTGGTTTTGTTCTTTTTCAAGATTGTTTTAGATATTCTGGATTATTTGCATGTTTATTTGAATTTTAACTTTGAAATGGTTTAGGGAGAAATATGAGAAATACAACAGTATGGTCAAATCTTAAATATATTAAAAAACAACATGTGAGGTATGTAAGGGCTGTTTAACATCTGATAATATTAATACAATCCATATTAATTAAATAATGGAGAACTAGATGATCACCTAATTAGATACCAAAACCCAACTTGCCATAACATCATAATCATCTTCATAATTTTTTTGGTTTGAGACAAGGTCTCGTTCTGCCACGGAGGCTGGAGTTCAGTGGTGTGATCATGGCTTACTGCAACTTTAACCTGCTGGGGGCAGTCAATCCCTACACCTCAGCCTTCGGAGTTAATGGTACTACAGGTGTGATTACTACACCCTGCTAATTCTGTTTTGTGTATTTTGTAGAGACGGGTTTGCCATGTTGCTCAAGATGGTCTCACACTCCTGGGCTCAAGTGATCTGTCTCCCTCGGCCTCCTAAAGTGCTGGCATTATCGCGCTTTTATTTGCAAGTTTTCTGGTTTGATTATCTTCATTGGAAGTCCAAGGGAATCCAGAATTTTTTAAAACAGAATTTAAGAAGATTGCTTATTAATAATATGTGTAACAGCAGTAATTGTTTAATAATGAGGGTTTTTACAACAGCTACAAAACTACCATGCCTACAATTAAAGTTTAACAGTTTTTGACACGTTTATGTAAGGACAGAATTATGCAACATTGAAAGACATTAATAGAAAGACTGAGTAAACATACAGATTTAGCTGTATTTGTGGATATGAATGGTTACTACAAAGTATAAGTCAGTGTTCCCCAAAACTAACTTATATTCTTGAATTTTTCTTCTAATTAAAATCCTAGAATGACGACCGGGTGCGGTGGCTCACGCCTATAATCCTAGCACTTTGGGAGGCTGAGGCAGGTGGATCGCCTGAGCTCAGGAGTTCGAGACCAGCCTGGGCAACACGGTGAAGCCCTGTCTCTACTAAAATAGAAAAAATTAGCCGGGCATGGAGGCATGTGCCTGTAATCCCAGCTACTCAGAAGGCTGAGGCAGGAGAATTGCTAGAACCTGGGAGGTGGAGGTTGCAGTGAACGGAGATTGTGTCACTGCACTCCAGCCTGGGTGACAGAGCGAGACTCTGTCTCTTAAACAAAAAAAAAAAAAAAAAAAAAATCCCAGAATGACTTTTTGTAAGACAGACTGTTAAAATTTATATGAAAGAGTAGTAAAGGGCCAGAACCAAGACAGTTTTGAAAAACAAGGTATTCTATACCGGGTATAAAGTCTTATTAAAAATTAAATAGTCATAATAATCAGATGGTAGAATTAGCACATGGTGTGATACATTGGCTAGAAGTACAATATGGTGAATCTAGAAGGGCAGCTTTCGTGAAAAGCTAGTAAATGTCAAATGGAATTTCATACCACTGATAGGAAATTCCAATTAATGAATAGATGATCTGGGGAAATAGTAATTAATAGGGGAAAAATTAACTTAGATTCTCCTCACCTCACAATACACTTATAGACTTCAGATTGAGCAATCCATGTGTTCAAAACCTAAATATTAAAGGTAGAATTTAACCAAAAAAATAGGAAAATATATTTATGATTTTAGAATTAGAAAATAATTCTTTATAATACAGAAATCACAAATTATATGATAGGTTTCATAGATTTTAATTACATTAATAGGAAGGACTACTATAAAACAGATGCCACCATAAAGAGATAAGAGAGAAACCACAAATAATATTTGCAACATATAACAAGAAGTGTTTAGGATATGCAAGTAAATACAAGTTGATAATAAAAATGGATAATATAAGAGCAGGCTGTTACCGAGAGAAAGAAATGTCTAATGAACATACAAGGATGATTAGAAATCAGTAATACAAATTAAAATCAGAGATTTCATTTCACAGCTGTCATGTTGATAAAAATTTAGGAGACTTCATATTGTCATTGATTCAAAATGTTTCTCAAGGTAAGCTTTTCATACTGTGTTTTCAGCTTTTAGATGAACCATAAATGGGCCTCTGTTTAAAACATTTCTGAAAGCATGATTCAAATTGATGTTGTTTATTGCTCTTTAACTTTTTTATCTTACCTTAAATTCAGCAAAAGAGATTTTGACTAGCAAACTGATGCTTTAGATTGTATGCTCCCAAGAGGCTGATTCTAGTTGTTGTATTAAGAATAGCGTACCTTTTTGCTTTCACTGCTATTAAATCTTGGTGATTAAGGAAGAGAGTACCCTATATTACTGTGAGTTTTATAATTTTGGATAGATGACTCACTTCTGATAACATTATATTGGATGTTTCTTTTACGATTTCTTCTTCTTATATTTCTAAAATGTACCTGTTTTAATATTTTTCCCTTAGATCAAATGAATGCTTCAGGACCAATTAAGGAGAAGATGGGGATATTCAAGATACTGGAAAATTCTGAAGATTCCAGTCCTGAATGTTTGTTTTAAACTGGAGCTCAAAAATAGATTTTATGTTTATGTCTAGTGATTTCCCTGTATTGGGTTTGAAATACTGATTGTCCACTTCACCTTTTTTATTATATCAGTTGACATGTAACTAGTACTATGCATACTTAAATAGATGGTAATTTTCTGAGCCTTACCAAGAACAAAGAAGTACCCATATTAAGTTTAGATTTTCAGTTAATTTTTGAGACTGAGTAGTATTCTTGGATACAGGCCAATGTGTACTTAACTACTTCCAGATTTATACAGTCTTCCTGTGGAAGTTTAGTAAATGTCTTTTTCCCTCCTTTCTTCTAGTAATGCAGTTCATGGGTACTTCAGTTATGAAGTAGGCTTTTCATGGGGAGAGATTGGGATTATGCTCTCTATTGTTTAAGACATTGTTTGATTTTAGAGTCTATTTCTGTGAGATAGTTTACCAAATAAATGTTCCTTATAAGATGATCTCATTAAATTATTTTTTCAGGAATAGCTTAGGTGCAATAATAGCAAAAGACTTGACTGTCGGTAGGATTTGATTATTTTGCTTTCTTGGTTTCATTCACTAGTACTATAGGAGTGTATCATATAAAAGATTTCAAGTGGACGTTCTGTTAGCACAAGAGAAGTTTCTGAATGAAACTTTAGGGCGTTGACAAATGACTAGAAATTGGAAATGGTAGTATATCGTGCAAAACAAGACAGATCCTGAAAATTTATAGTGGTTAACTAGAACCAAATAGAAGAGAACAGGCTTTAGGAGTATGTAAGTAATGCAAAATCCGTAATAGAACAGCATAAAGGCCAAAAGGGGTACAATTTAGACCCTGTGCGAAAGGATATCAGGCAGTGAGGAAGAGAAATCCTGAATGTACCCTGGAGAGGGGACATACTCCATGAGCCATACATTTCTGTGCTGGTGTTTATTTCATGGAAAAATATTGCTGTTGCCATCCATATTCAAATGTAGATCAGATGATCTGTTTGGGATAATGAAACTGTCACTTAAGAAAAACTTAAATTCTTTTTTTCCTGTGTCCTGTTTGCACAGGTCTTTTTTCTTTAAAATTTTTATTTCAGTAGTTTTGGGTTACAGGTGGAAAGTTTTGGTTATATGACTAAGTTCTTTGGTGGTGAAGAAAAACTTCAGATAGAACATTTGGTTAAATAAAAGACTATAGAGCAGGTTTATTTGTTTTGTAAGTGAAAATGTTAACCCATCACATAAGCATGCTGACCTAGGCTTGCTTGAAACTCGTGATCTTGTCCTTAGCGACCCAGTCTTTTCTGTTACATTGTCCTAAATGACTGATTTCATAGTTTTACTCTGTCATTGCATGTCTCACATCTTCTCCCTCTCACTTTGCTCCCTATCGCCCTGAGAAAATAGACACAATCAGAAAAGAATCTTTAAAAGTTGTCACCATTGCATCTGTAAACCTAGCATCTATGCCTATCTGTCCTTTATTATATACTATGGATATATTGTTTGTCCTAGCTTGAGCCAATTGTAATGTCTCATTTCTTTCATACCAAAACTCCTTGAAAAAGAATTCTGTTATCACAAAACTCCTTGCCTGTATTCATTGTTTTTAGTTTGTTCTGTTTTTTTTCTGAACCAGTTCCAATCAGATATTGATTTCCATTGGAGCCGTTTTTTTTTTAAGGTCTCGTGATGTCAGTGAATTCATTTTACTTGATCTTTTAGCAGCATTTCATACAGTTGTTGACTCTTCTCCATTAAAACACTTACTTTATTTGGCTCCTAGCAAACATATTTGCCTGCTTTTTCTTCCTATTTCTCTGACTCTTTTCTCAGTTTCCTTTGCTGTTTCCTTTTCTGTCCTCTAAATATTGGAATATCCTAAGCCTAGTTTGGGATTCCCTTGATGGTCTTCATTTCTTCAATAGGAGCTGTGCTGATGACTCAAATTTATATCTCCAACCAGAACCTTTCTCCTGAATTCCAGATTCACATATCCAACTGTTTACTAGGTGCTTGATAACTATATCTGTACTTTTCATCCTGTTTAATCCGAATTTGCTTCTTTTGCATTTTCCTTAGTTCAATAAATGACAACTTTATTCTTCCAGTTGTTTAAACCAAAAATCTTGTCTTCTCTTTCTTCCCTCACATTTCACATTTCACATTTCACATCTGATTCTAAAGCAAATCTCGTTGTCTATACTTTTTCTTTTTTTTTCCCCCTTTTTTTGGGTCTCGCTCTGTTGCCCAGGCTGGAGTGCAGTGGTGCAGTCTCGGCTCACTGCAACCTCTGTGTCCTGGGTTCAAGCGATTATCCTGCCTCAGCCTCCTGAGTAGTTGGGGTTATAGGCGCATGCCACCATGCCTGGCTAATTTTTATATTTTTAGTAGAGACTAGGTTTCACCGTGTTGGTCAGGCTGGTCTCAAACTCCTGACCTTGTGATCTGCCCACCTTGGCCTCCGAAGGTGCTGGGATTATAGGCATGAGCCACCGCATCCGGCATTTTTTTTTTTTTTAAAATAGAATCTCAGTTCGTCACCTGGGCTGGAGTACAGTGGCGTGATCTTGGCTCACTGCAACATCTGCCCCCCGGATTCAAGTGATTCTCATGCCTCGGCCTCCCAAGTAACCAGGACTAGAGGTGTGCGCCACCACGCCTGGCTAATTTTCTTCTTTTTAGTAGAAACATGGTTTCACCACGTTGGCCAGGCTGGTCTCGAACTCCTCACCTCAAGTGATCCATCTGCCTCGGACTAAGTGCAGGGATTACAGGCGTGAGCCATTGCGCCCAGCCTACTTTCTATAAATGTCATCCTGGCCCTGCCCCGCCCCCCCCACCCCCTCCCCGCCCCACCTCCTCCCCGCCCCACCTCCCGTACCCTGCATAGTCTGTTTCATTTGATTCTTCCCTTAGTTTGGTGTTTTGTTTTGATGTGTCTTCTTTAGATGCCTTGGGATCATTTACTGTTCCTCATATTTAAGAGCAAATGCTTAAAAGTTCTTAGAAATACCTTCTTGAAAAGCCTGCATTCCTACCATCTCTCACCACTTCAACATGAAATAATGATCCCTTACATCTTTTTAGTGTAGTTACATAATTTTTGATTGACTCAATAGTTTTATTTTGGCTCTGTAAGTATTATTAAAGCTTTAGATAAGCCATGGAATATGCTAAGGTTTTTTCATTCTTGTGCAGCTTTTTTTTTTTCTCCTTGAAGTTAATACTTACTTTTTTTTAACCTATCAGTAATTTATATCTAATTTCTCTGGAAGTATAAACCTCTCATTATATTAAAACAGATCTCGTGATTCAGTAATAAACTTCCCCCTCCAAATATATCCCATCATCTCTACTCCCTGGAACATTCTTCTAGTTTGGACTGTAGAACCGATTCCATCTGCAACCTTCGTTTACCATCCAGTTGGGTATTTCTGTTGGCTGTTTCATGTTTTGGAACTACTGTTTACTGAGTCTCACTTTTGTTTTCTTTTTTTTTCCTTTAAGACGGAGTTACACTCTTGCTGCCCAGGCTGGAGTGCAGTGGCTCGATCTCGGGTCACTGCAACTTCTGCCTTCTGGGTTTAGGCTATTCTCCTGCCTCAGCCTCCTGAGTAGCTGGAATTGCAAGTGCCCGCCACCATGCCCAGCTAATTTTTGTATTTTTAGTAGAGACAGTTTCACCATGTTGGCCAGGCTGGTCTCGAACTCCTGACCTCAGGTGATCCACCATCCTCGGCCTCCCAAAGTGCTGGTATTACAGGTGTGAACCACCGTTCCTGGCTGGATCTCACTTTTTTTCCTCCTTGGTTTACTCCCTCATTTTGATGGATTGTATTGTCTTGTGTTTTCCTGAGAAAAGGATTCAAGAGAAATGAATATTTTGAGAACTCAGAGAAAATCTGGATGTATTTTTGTTGAATTCCTACATTTAATGGATAGTAGTTTTGGTTTGAGATTTTAGATTAGGAATTATTGTCTTCTCAGAATTTTGAAAGTTACTGTGTTGTCTCAGAACTTCCAGTGTTGTGGGAGAGAAAATTAATGATACTCTTTTTTTTTTTGTTTTTGGAGACAGGGTCTCATTCTGTCACCCAGGCCTAAATACAGCTCACTGCAGCCTTGACCTCTCAGGCTCAAGTGATCCTCCAGCCTCAGCCACCAGCTTAGTTTGGACCACAGCCATGCACCAAATTCCCTGCTAAGTTTTTAATTTTTCTGTGGAGACAGGGTCTCGCCATTTTGCCCAGGCTGGTCCTGAACTCCTGGGCTCATGAAATTCCCCGCCGCTTGGCCTCCTAAGGCTGGGATTACACGTGTGAGCTCCTGCACCTGGCCCCCGAATGCCCCCTAATGCCACTTTGATTTCCAGTCTGTTGAATGTTGGGGGAATCTGCCTTTTGTTAATGTGAGCTTCTAATGTTTGTCTTTTGTATTCTAAATTAATAATGTGTGTCCTTGATATGGGTCTTTTTTTTTTTTTTTTTTTTTTTTCTAAAGAGACTTCTGCTATGTTGCACAGATTTGATTTGAATTCCTGGTGTCAAGTTATCTTTCCTTCTCAGTCACTAGAGTAATGTGGACTACAGACATGTGACACCATGCCCATCTTTATGTTGTGTATCTTATCTTTGTTTTGGTTTACTCTTGAAAAAGCTCAGGCTGAAAATCTGTCTCTTAATTCATGGGAATTTTTTAGAATGACTTCTTGGAGGCTTTTGTCTTTTGAATGTGTGATCCCTTCTCTGCCTATGACTTTTTTTTCTTGCTTTTTTTTTTTTTTTATGAGACATGGTCTTGCTGTTGTCCAGGTTGGAGAGCAGTGGTGCAATCATAGCTCACTACATTCTTGAATTTCTGGGCTCAAGCTATCTTCCCACCTCAGCTTTCAGAGTATCTGGGGCTACAGGCATGTGCCACTATGCCCAGATAATTAAAAAAAATTTGTAGAGATAGGGTCTTGCTATGTTGCCCAGGCTGTTTTTGAATTCCTGTCCTCAAGAGGATCCTTCTACGTTTGCTTCCCAAAGCATTGGTATTATATGTATGAGCCACCACCACCAGCGCTTCTGCCTAGAACTTGTAGCAAACTTTCTTTCCCCCGTCTGCATAGTCTGTTTCATTAAATGATTCTTCCCTTTTTTTAGTCTGTCTTTTATTTTGATGCTTCTTCAAATGCCTTGGGATCATTTACTGTTCCTCAAATTTAAGAGCTAGAAGAAATCTCTCTAAGCTCCATGCTTGAGGGTTCTCAACAGGTGGATTTTACTCCTAGTAAATTCCATTTACTAGACCATTTATTTGAGGGTCACCGAATTGTCAGTATATGTATATGAGAGAGAATATGTACATATATATCTGGGAGAAATTCTGTAATCACTTGTCCTGTGTGAGTATATGTACTTTGCCAGTTTTCTTTTGGGGTGAGGAGGAGGGACAGTATATTAGAGTTTACTATTCAAAATGTAGACTTCCTCAGTTTTCAGTAAAATACTGTACCCTCTTTATATCTGGATTCCCCTATTCCAGACATCCTCTGATTCACCCTTTTCAGGGAGTTAATAATAACATTTCTTCCATTGTGAGGGGGAGTGGTAATCACTTCACAGGGAGGTATGGGGCCAGTGTTTTTTAGTGAAAACCTCTATCTAACACTGAGACTTTCATTTCTCGTCTATTGAGTCAGTTAACACTGGTACATTTATTTTTCAGTTCCCAAAATCTTACTTTGTCTTTGCTTCTATTTTATTGTCTGGGGGTGTTTAATACCTGTTTCATTTTTTACAGTCATTTTAGTTTCCAGATTTTAGTAAGGGACAGAGGGGAAGGAATAGATGGACTCATTTCATGATATAGAAACAAATACTCCCTCTCTTCTTACATGAAAAATTATTCTTAAACCAGGCCTTGTCTTTCAGAACCTGATCAAAGTATAAAAAATACTTTTTAGCTTTATTTCTTTAATGAGTCACTATTCCATATTTGAAGGTGTTAAGAGGTATGGTGAAGGTGGTACTTGAACATTTCCAAGCAAACGTGTAATGAAATCTTTCATCAATGTCTTAGCAATTGTATATGATTTTTTTAGTCTTAGCAATTTGAGGTAAGTTTTTATGTTTTTGTTTTTTTGAGATTGAGCCTTGCTCTGTCGCCCAGGCTAGAGTGTATTGGCACGATCTCGGCTCACTGCAGCCTCTGCCTCCCAGCGGGGTCCAGCGATTCTCCTGCCTCAGCCTCCTGGGTAGTTGGGATTACAGATGCATGCCACCACACCTGACTGAGTTTTGTATTTTTAGTAGAGACAGGGTTTTGCCATCTTGGCCTGGCTGGTCCCGAACTCCTGATCTCAGGTGATCCGCCCAACTCGGCCTCCCATAGTGCTGTGATTATAGGCGTGAGCCACTGTGTGTGGCCTGAGGTAAGATTTTATAAGAAGCCTACAAAGCCCTAATTTTAACATTAAGAACATTAAGTGCTTCTGATAGTTTTAAGTTCTGCAGTCTTTATTTCAAAGAATTATTTCGTTCTGAATTTCTATTTAAATTAGTCTAGAATATGTTTATAAATTTGTTTACATTTGGTTGAAATATATTCTTAAAACTTATTCCTGAGCTTACGTCCACAGGTTCCAGTTTGAGGATAAACGAGGTCTAAAGACGGAATTAACTTGTTCATAATTTTTCCTGTTCTTTTTAGAAATCCTAGGTATCCTTAGGCTAATTAATCTATAGATTGGCCCTGCAAGCATGTCACTGGATTTTTTATGTCTTCTTGAGTCTTAGCACTTTAAATTCCTCTATATCCTTCACTGTCTTTCTTACAGCACCCTAAAAGAGTAGCATGTGAACTATTGCTCTTCTGTAAGGTATTTTAGGACATTTAAAAAATAATATATGATTGGTTCTCTTCATGCTAAATACTCTACCACAACTCATACAATTAAAGTGGTCAAAGAAAGGTCTCTTTCATTTCTGTTTTCAGTTTAAAAAGAAATGTTATTTGTAAAATAGTATAGTCATAATACAAATACGGCAGTTTTTTAGTGTTTTTTTTCTTTTTCTTTTTTTGTGAGACGACTTCTTGCTGTCATCCAGGCAGTAGTGTGATTGTAATTCACTGCAGTCTCCAACTCCTGGGCTCGAGGGATCCTCCCACTGAGCCTCCTGAGCAGCTGGGACTGCAAACGTGTGCCAGTACCTGGCTAATTTTAAAATTTTTTTGTAGAGCTTAGGTTTTTTTTTTTTTTTAAAAAAAAAAAAGCTTTGTTTGCACAAACTGTTGTCCAGGCGGCTCCAATTTCTGGCCTCAAACAATCTTCCTGCCTTGGCCTCCCAATTGCATAAGCTACCACACCCAGCGCACAGTTTTCTTTTAGTACAATACAAAAATCTTGTCAGCGCTAGCTTAATTTACCCTGTCTGTATCCAACTTTTTTTTTTTTTTTTTTTTTTTATGGAGTTTCTCTCTTGTTGCTCAGGCTGGAGTGTAATGGTGTGATCTTGGCTCACTGCAACCTCCGCCTCACAGATTCAAGCGATTTTCCTGCTGTCTTCTGAGTAGCTGGGATTACTGGCATGTGCGACCACGCCCGATGAATTTTGTATTTTTAGTTAGAGACGAGGTTTCTCCATGTTGGTCAGGCTGGTCTTGAACTCCCGACCTCAGGTGATTCACCCACCTCAGCCTCCCAAAGTGCTGGGATCACAGGCGTGAGCCACTGCGCCAAGCATATATCCACCTCTTTACCATCCACATTAGCATTTCATAAGCTTCTGTTTGCCCTCTTAGTTAATAACCCTATCCCACGGTGAATCACTTTAGTAATCCGTATTACAATGGATTAGTTCTGCATAGCAAAAACTATGATAGGTGTGTTAAATAATGAAGTTTGGGGAATGTTAATAAGACGATTTCTCTTACTATAGATGAAATACTTGGTAAGAGAATCCCTGGTGAGATCAGATCAGTTACATGTATATCTTGCCTCTCTTAAGTCTCTACTATTTATTACTAGACTTGAGTTAGGATTTGGGAGTGCCACTGAACACTAAAATTATTCTGTCTGAGTATTTGAATGGTATGAGAAAAAAATCCATTTTAATATTTTATCAAGTTGAGATGTCTCACGTGAATAGTTAGTGCTGAGAATCAGACACAGGCACATTTGGGAGCATGGGGTGGCAAGAAGCTTTGCTTTGTCCTGTTCATGTTGTACTCATACTTGTTTCTACATTTTTCATTGATGTCTCTTTGTACTAGCACTAGGGCACAGGAGAAGCTGTACTGGAATATTACACTGCTCAGCACGAGACAGGTTTAATCTTTTCTTGGGGTACAAGATTGGAAAATTGAGTTCTGAGCAGACCTGAAGAGAGGTCTGCAACTCAGATTAAATTCATCATTGATTAATTCATTGTTGTTTGGAACTGACGTTTAGCTGTGTTCCTCACTCAGATATGTACATTGATAGCTGCTTGCTAATTTGGTCTTAGCTCACATTTCACCTAGAATGTATGATCTCCCTCTTCCCCACTGTTGCTAATCTGTCTGCCTCATAATTTCCGTGAGATTGAGCATCTTGTCTGTTTTTTCACCACTATATAATAGCATGTTGGAAACAAAGCAGTAATAAAGCTAGAAAAACCAAGCGAATACACTGGATTTAAAAAAATACTGTTTCCTAGAATTAAAAAAATAAATGAGGCTGGGCCCGGTGGCGCCTGTAATCCCAGCAGTTTGGGAGGCTGAGGCGGGTGGATCACGTGGCCGAGATCGTGCCACTGCGCTCCAGTCTAGTGACAGAGCGAGACTTTGTTTCTTACTTTAAAAAAAAGGACCTCATTGGGATAGTTAAACAGAAAACTTAAGAAATTCCCTACACATGTATGCATTATAGAGCAAATAAGAGCATCAAAGACAATCTTCCAGATCTTTCAGAGAAAGGTCACCTACAAAGGAACATCGATCAGATAATAGATTTTTTGTTTTGTTTTGTTTTCAGATGGAGTTCCACTCTTCTCGCCCATACTGGAGTGCAGTGGCGCAATCTTGGCTCACTGCAGTCTCCGCCTCCCAGGTTCACGCAGTTCTGCATCCTCAGCCTCCGAGTAGCTGGGATTACAGGCGCCCACTACCATGCCCAGAATTTTTGTATTTTAATTAGTAGAGATGGGATTTTGCCATGTTGGCCAGGCTGGCCTTGAACGTCACCTCAGGTGATCTGCCCGTCTAGGGCCTTCCAAAGTGGTGTGATTACAGGGCATGAGCCACCGCTCCTGGCTGATAACAGACGTTTTAGTAGTAAGATAAAAAGTAAAATTTCCAATGTGTCGAAGAAAGAAAATTACAGCCTAGAACTTTTATCTTCATGTACATTATTTAAGTGTGTGAGGGAATAGTTTCAGTGACATTATGTCCCTGAAGACCTTAGAAGATTCTCTCGCTAAAGAAGATAAAGTGACTGACACAACATGTATTTCTCTGAGTAATTAGAAGTGTTCTTTTCTGGCTGTACTGAAGAGACTTTAATGATTTCTTCATGTTTTTATACTCTTAGTTTATAATATTGCATAGTAGCTAAGGCCTGGCTCTAGCAATTATAAATTGTTCTGCAAGTGCAGGCAGTAATAGTTAATCCTGCCTCAAGGATGTAGGGTTTATATGGGTTAGTGCACAAAAGGACATTTATTAAATTTAGTCATAATCATCTCAAAGACATGGTAAATTAAAGAGTGTACATAAAGTACTTCATGTAATGTCTGCCACTTAATGTTCAATAAGTCAAAGAGACCACCACCACTACTACATTTTACTTTTATTAGTAATTAATAGTAATAATAATTAGTAATTCAGTGATAATAGGTATACTACCAAAGAAAGTAAACAGAGCCAAAATTCAAACCGTAGAATCATTTTACTGTGCTTTTATTCCACCT